GTGGCGGGAAGGAAGGGAAGTGAGTGCGCCAAACAGAAGGCTCGAATTTGTCGCCAATAGGGTTCATAAGTGCGAAGGGTAGACTTTGCCCGAAGATCGACGGTGAGTGTGAGAAGGTCCGACAATAATCGACCAATATATGAGCCTGCGCAGTGAAATACAATTATGCATTAGTTAAATGCAAAACGAAGCGCATACATCGGAGAGTTCGGAAGACCGGCACCGCTCAAGGCGTAACGGTCACTGCCAACGCGTAAACAACTAGCACCAAGGGTAAGACGAAGGGCCATAACGACCTCCGGGTCCCAAGTGAAGCCGTCCAGGCTTAGCAAAGGCCACCAAAAAGCACTGGGCCAATATGGGATCACGAGAGTGAGAGAAGTGCGCGAGCGACGGGCATGAGCTAGGACAGCCGGGATGAGGGCGGGTGGAGGAAAGGCGAAGCAATTCTCGTGTCCTCAGTTGATAGAAAAGGCATCTTGCGCAACCGCAGAGTGTGACAACTCGAGGGAGCAGAAACGAGCGAGCTGCGCATTGGCAGGGGATGCGAACAAGTCGATGGTATGAGGCCCCCAATGCCTCTCAAGCAGCAGGAACCAAGGACGTGTCAAGGAGTAGTCGTCGTGGAGCTCAATCTTGGGCAGAGCATCGGCCTCGGTATTTAGCGCACGGGGAATCCATTGGACCGTGAGACGGATCATATGGCGCACGCACCATTGAATAATCGCGCGGCATACAAAGGTAAGCTCGGGACGGCGAGAGCCTCCCTTCTGGAGGATGTAGTAGGCCGCCTGACTGTCGCTGCGGAGCAAGATGTGCGAACGCCGGATTTCGACAGAAAAGGCCGAAAGGGACCAAAAGATTCCGGCCAGCTCGCGAAGGGTACTGGACGAGCCCAAGAGGGCTAGAGGCAGCGGGGAGGAGAGCGAGCCGACACGACCATTCGGCGCGGAATAACAAGCCCCCCAGGCATGGTCGCTAGCATCCACGTACATGACAACGTCGTACAAATGCGGGTTGTGGAAGTGGGCGCCATTGAAAATGACGAACTGTGTAAGAAAAAAACGAAGCTCTTCAACAGACTCAGGGGTTAGGAGAACGGCCACCCCCCATGAGTGGCATTCGGCGATCTGCGCGAGAAGATGGTGGGAAAAGGCGCGCGCGACAGTGCCCAGTGCCAAGGACATGGAGGCCAACATGCCGGTGATGCGGGCAGCGCGGCGAACAGGGATGCGACGCCCGTTAGCGCCGAGTGTGCCTAATTCATCCAGCTCGGCAAACAGCCGGTTGCGCCGATCCGCATTGACAGAGAATGTGGTGGTGCACGTGTCCAGCAAGAGGCCCAAGAACTTCAAAGATTGTGCTGGCGCAAGTTGTGATTTTTTTAAATTCACAATGAAGCCCGTGGCTGCGAGGTCGGCGATGATTATGGAGCGGTTGTGAAGTGCCTCCGTTCAAGTGGCACTGATGAATAGGATATCAATGACGTATGGAATAAGGCGGATGCCACGGCTGCGCCAGCGTTTGGAGAGTTGCTTAATTAACTGGGTAAACACAAATGACGCTTAGCCAGCCCGAAAGGCAAGGAGTGGAATTGGTAGTCCTGCCCTTACAGGGAGAATCCGAGAAACCGCCAAAAGGCGGGGTGAATGTCGACGTGGTGGTATCCGGATTTGAGATCGATCGTGAATAGCCAATCGCCTTCTTGCACCAAATCAGGAACGCGAGTAAGTCCTTCGTATCGAAAACGAGGTACCGAGAGGAATGAGTTGACATGCCGCAAGTCCAATATTAGCCTCTTTTTAGAGGGTTGGACAATCACGTTTAACGGGCTAACGCATGTAAGGGTTGCGGAAGGAGGTACGACCCGAGCTGCGCCAGTGGCGAGAAGCTCGTCCACTGCACCTACTGCGAAAGAGGTGAATTGCAAGGCACCGGCATGATTTTTAGTACGAGACAGGGGGGGCTCAGAGGCAACCCATGGTAGGCGATATCCAGATGTAATCACTGATAGAATCAAGCGGCTGTCGCACCTCGCGGACCACCATGCAGCGCGGTCACGGAGGCGGCCTTGCACGCGGGTAATCTTGGTTGCATCATCGGCATAGGCCAAAATGGTTCCGAGCTCTGGTGGGAGAGGGAACACAAATAGGGACGGTAGAGAATCAGGAAGGTGCTTCACCTCATTAAGTTCCGACCTCAACAAGGGATTTTTTTCTTCTTCTTCTTTTCGGGAAGGAAGGCAAACGCTCATTATAGGTGCACGCTCGCTCGCTATTCTTCGGTCACGTCATCCCTTAAGTAATATACCATTGGGTTGGGCATGTCAACTTGGCATACTGGGCTATAGTTGGTGGTCATATATGGTGATGACATAGAAATCTTGTCATGAGTCTTATCAACGGCAGTCTTTAGAGGACACACACACATTGTGTATGCGTCTTGTGGGCACGTTCTGTTGAAACTAGGCACTAGGTAAGAGGGATGCCATGAAAATGGCGAGAGTTTTTAGATATAGGAGCTAGGCAAATTGAGGAGAGAAAAGAGAATCAGAATAGAAGAGAGAGGGATACAAGGAGGGGTGTTGTACCCTCTACAATAAAGTTCAGTAAGCCTACCAAGCCTACAATTATATACTAACATATATAATTTATCAACGTTCATGTCTTCTTGCATGGGACCAAAGGGCAAGACCATGTGGCCATACGACGCGCGTATTAATCTTACTTGAATGCAAAATGTATGTGTGTGTGTGTGTGTGTGTGTGTGTGTGTGTGTGTGTGTGTTTTTTTTTTTTTTTTTTTTTTTTTTTTTTTTTTTTTTTTTTTTTTAAAATATTAAGAACGCTACAACATTGGAGATGTTAAGCAATCTTTACACAATCTTAGCCGGCCGATTGGCCCCTTGGCCCCTTTGGGGGCAATTAGCCATCCCATGCCCGGATTCACGGCAATAGAAACAACGGCCGTCGCCGTCCCTACGCCATGTGTTCCAAAGGCGCTCCCCTTGGCCTCGAGGGCGAAGTGGGGGTTCAGAACGGGAGGTGGAATGGGTGGGCCGAGTGGGCCTCTTCTTGCTGGCCGCTACAATCTGAGAAGCAGCCTTGACATTCTTATCCTCTACCACTTCCCCGTACTTCATCTTAAGGGCCATATTGGCCACTTCGAAACCGCGTTGATCGGCGGTAAACAGAAAATGGATCTTTTCTTCCGCCTCCTCTACTATCTGCTGGAGATAGTCGGCGGCTTGTTCACCACCATCAGGTGGTAAAACCGAGATAGCATGACGTGCAATAGCTTGAATGCGCTCAAAACTAAAAAGTTGCGTACGAATGCCATCGCTTTTAACTAAGGAAGAGCGCAACTGAGGACGTGCAGGTGGAATAGGAGCAAGGGTGAGCGCTGCAGAAGCGGATTTTGGGCGGGCAGCATTACCTTCGTCGAGCGTGGCATGGGGTGCTTCCTCATCCATTTCGTCGTCGACGGGCTCGGGGGCGGGCGCCAGGAGGCGAGAGCGTGGGGCTGCCGCCGCCGCGACGCGTGCTGTTTCCGGTGGCGGTGCTGGATCAGCGCCATTGCCACGCTGGAGCGCCGCGAGAAGACCAAGAACGTGGTGAATGGCCTCATTGTTGGTGCCGGCATTAACATTGTTGTCGGTGTAGCGAGCAGAATTATGTTATGCAGAATGAGGCGCTGTGGATGCAGTGGAGCGTGCTGTAACGCGTTCGCCAGCAGCAGCTCTTGTGAAGATTCGCTGGAGATTGCGCTGGGCTGCAGGATCCAGGCGCGCGATCATTTCGGCGATTTCTGCTGCTCCAGGGGTCGAGATCTGCGGATTTCCGCGTGGATTCACTGCAGCGGGAGGAAAATCCGTGCGGCGATCTGCGCGATCCCGGTCCCGATCCTGGCGATCCTGGCGAATCTGGGGCGCTGGGGCGTTGAGATCGTGCTCATGATGACGCCCTGCGCGCGCAGGATCACGATCATGATTGTGGTCCTCGCGCGCAGGACCGTCATGATTGCGTTCGGTAGGTGGGGGGCGTGACGGGGCGTTTTCGGCAGGCGGGTTCGTATCGACACGGTTCTGCTCGTTACGCTGCTCGCATTGAAATCCGGGGGGGGGAATCGCGATTGCGTGACGTGTTACGATCCGCGTCCCCCGCCGCGTTTTCGACGTGCTGAACAGGGTCTTGACGCGCGCCACTCAGCGAATCGAAAGCGGTAATGTCGCCGTTACCTCCGCCAGGACGAGGAGAACGAGATCGTTCTCTATGCTGAGACGAAGAGTTTCGGTCCCCCTCACGTACAGGGGACCCACACCTTCCACCACTCCTTGTATTCACGCGAGGAGCGGGAGGCCTACCACTTGCAGCGGAAATAAGTCCGCTGACCATTGTAGAATATCTAACAGAAATAACGTCTTGCAGCAAGAGACTCCTATGCCCAGATCTGGGCATAAGAGAGGTTTAGAGTGTGCTGGTGGTATGCAAGTTGGAACAGAAAAAATGCAAATGAGACTAGGTGGCATGGCTGAAAGACCTGCCGATAGATGGAGTTTGTCTCCTTTACAGCAAACTCCTCTTCTAGTCGAATCACAATCTGTAAATTTTTTTTATTACAAAAAAATTCTCATATTTTTAGGGTGTTTTTCTGTACCGACCCTGAAAAATCAGCGCTGGAATTTGAAAAAACGGGGCTAACTAGTTAAAAAAACAGTACCAACCCTGATTTTCAGGAGGTTTTCAGGGTGCCTTTGTGTACCTACCCTGAAAATTCAGTGTGGCCTAAAACGAATCTGAGGGCCTTTGAATCTTGACCGTCGTGTCGTGCATATTGTCCAGCGTCGTGGATGGATTACAAGTGGGCTGCGGAGGCCTGATTTCCATCAAGTCTGTAGCTTATATTAACCTGTAATCCGTCTTGACTGTCGTGTCGTGCATGTTGTCCAGCGCTGTTGTGCGGGAACCAGGGAGCATAATTCAGGTGGATGTGTTGGACGAGCTTTCATTCAATACGGTATAAACTACACTGCGATTGCGCTAAAGAATCCAATAAAATAAATGCAGCATATGCTATTTCATATGCTTCTTGAGTAGGCTGTACAATCCAATGAATGTTACCACATCTACACCTAGTAGCTCCTGTAGTTGCCCGTCCACTCTATATCGAGCCACCCGGCTTCCTCCCTCCACCTGGGGCGAAGGAATGCCGCAAGAGAGAATAATGCAGCATGAGAATAATACTGCAGCATGAGAGAATAATGCAGCATGAGAGAATGACTAGCGGATGGTAGAACAGGTGGGAAAAAGAATGTCAAGCGATACACAGAACAGAGACGGTACTAGTATTCTGTGGGGGGAACTCAAACCACAGACCTTCGCCCCTTGTAACTCTCCCTCCAACATCTCCCAGGCACACCACCCACTCGCTCTTAACTCACTGCCGAGGAGTCTATTTTTGAGGCGCCTCAAAAATAGACTTACACATTTCCCAGGCACACCGCCCACTCGCTCTTTACTTAACTCGCTGCCATACTTGTGCTCTTGGATGCTATTGCTCAAGCCACCACCTGCCTCACCATGTATACCTAAATTCACACACCTGCCGCCACTCACCTTCTCGCCCTGCTCCTTCACTCACTGCCGTATTTGTTGACTGGCTTCTATGAGAGGTAAGCTGTAAACCTCGCCTCCCAGACCCCCCTTGAGTGCTGGGGACATGAACTTACTGCTTTATGCACCCCTACAAAAGTACTTCTTGGGGTTTTTCTTGAACTTCCGCAAGCGCGGAAGGTAGGCATATAATTATTTTCCGTGCTTGCGGACTCATTAGCTTCTCTCCCTACCTTCCCACATCCCTCACCACGCACCTTCTCGCCCTGCTCCTTCACTCGCTGCCAGACTTGTTGAGTGGCCTCTCTGAGAGTAAAGCCGCCAAACTCCTCTCCCAGAACCGCCTTGAGTGCCGGAGACAGTTGGCGCAGATCACGATCGTCCGCGCTCGATGCCTCACTAGCGGACGACTCCCTAGCGGACGACACCAATCCAGATTCCACTTCTCCTGACTTGGTTGCTCCGCTTGCTCCTCCACTTGCTTCTTTGGCTGCTCGTTTTGCCCCTCTTGCTCCTCTTGGTGCCTTTGAGGCTGCTCCACCCACCCGCGCAGCTTCCTCCGCTGCATTCACTGCCTTAGCGGAGGCATCATCGGCATCAAGTGGCGACATGTGCTTTTCCAGCAGCCCCGGCAGTTTCAGGCTGTGAGCCGAGTCCACTCCAAATAGAGCCTTCAGCTTGGCGTCAAACACAGCGGTGTTGGGCCCGGTCTTGAGGTCGTTGGCCTGGATGTATCTCCACACCAGACTCATCGCCTCGAATACGCTCAGCTGCTCGTGCTGTGGCATGGGAAGGCATGGCGGGAAACGGAAGAGAGGCGAGGGGGGGTATAGGCTGTCTTCAGACCATTGGCCCGGATGTATCTCCAAGCCAGACTCATTGCCTCGAATATGCTCAGCTGCACGTGCTGTGGCATGGGAGGGGGTGGGTGGAGGGGAGAGGTGGGGGGAGGGGAGGGGGTGGGTGGAGGGGAGGGGAGGGGGGGAGGGGAGGGGAGAGTGGAGGGGAGGGGTGGGGGGGAGGGGAGGGGAGAGTGGAGGGGAGGGGTGGGGGGGAGGGGAGGGGGTGGTGGAGGGGAGGGGTGGGGGGGAGGGGAGGGGGTGGGGGGGAGGAATGGTTGTCTTGAGGTCGTTAGCCCGGATGTATCTCCACACCAGGCTCATCGCCTCGAATACGCTCAGCTGCTCGTGCTGCAGTGGGAGAGTAGGGGTGGAGGGGGTTGCTTCCAGGTTGCTTCCAGGTTGCTTTCAGGCCTTTTCGCCAATTATCTCTTTTAGCTGCTCTGGCCGCTGCTTACGCAGCCTGTTCAGACAAGTCCGCTCCTCGCCACAGCTAAACCCTTACCAACTGCTCTCAACCGTCGCTGCTCCGACTGACGGTCTTCTGGGAAACCTGTTGAGACAAGTCCGCTCCTTGCCAAATCTAAGAGCCCACTCCGCCGCTCTCTGGCTTTCAGTTATAGCACGTTCAAGCAGGTGACTTTTGAGTCGACTCAAAAGACACGTTCAAGCAGGTGACTTTTGAGTCGACTCAAAAGACACGTTCAAGCAGGTGACTTTTGAGTCGACTCAAAAGACACGTTCAAGCATGAAGGCTAGAGAGCGACGGAGCACCCATGCAATGAACGCACGTACAATACCCCCACCCAGGATGAACGCACGTACAATACCCCCACCCAGGATGAACGCACGTACAATACCCCCACCCAGGATGAACGCACGTACAATACCCCCACCCAGGATGAACGCACGTACAATACCCCCACCCAGCACGCTCTCTGGCTTCAGTAAAGCACGTTCAAGCATGATAGTACAATACCCCCACCCAGCACCCAGCCCAATCACCAATCACCCCACCCTCTCCAATCACCTCTTTTAATCGCTCGCAAAAATTAAGCTGTTATCAACCGCTCTCAACCTTTCTCAACCGTTCTCAACCATTTACAATCCACACCGCCTACCTCGCCTATAATTGCTTTAAGCCGCTCTGACTGTCGTCTGGGAAGCCGGTTCAGGAGTGTCCGCCCCTGGCCAAAGCTAAGCCGTTATCAACCACTCTCAACCCACACCTACCTCTCCGATGACCTCCTTTAGCCGCTCTGACGGTCTTCTGGGAAGCCTGTTTAGGAGTGCCCTCTCCTGGCCAAAGCTTAGCCCACTCTCTCTCTTCTTCACCTCCCGTCTGCTCCTCCCCTCCCTGACCATCCCACCCTCTTCGCTACCTCCTCCCTCATCCCCTTCAGAAGCCGATTCTTTAAAAATCACTGCTTGATGCTCCCCTCCCTCCTCTCCTTCAGAATCCTCTGCTTGAGGCTTCCCTCCTCCCTCTCTGTCTAGTTGCTGCATGTGCCTCGATAGAAGGCTCGGTAGTTGGATTCTGTGAGCCGACTCCACTGCGAATAAACTCTTCAGCTTGCCGTCGAATGCGGCTGTGTGGGGCCCGGTTTTGAGGTTGTTGGCTTGGACATACCTCCACACCAGGCTCGTGGCTTCAACCAGGCTCAGCTGCTCATGCTGCGAGAGGGGAGGGGTGGAGGAGAGGGGTGAAGAGGGGTGAAGAGGGGTGAAGAGGGGAAAGGTTGTTCTAAGGTTGTTGGCTTGGACGTACCTCCACACCAGGCTCGTGGCTTCAATCAGGCTCAGCTACTCGTGCTGTGGGAGGGGAGGGGTGGAGGAGAGGGGTGAAGAGGGGTGAAGAGGGGTGAAGAGGGGAAAGGTTGTTCTCAGGTTGTTGGCTTGGACGTACCTCCACACCTAAGTTGCACTAAACACGTATGGCGTTTGATACGCTAGCGTATAAACGCTAGCGTATACACGCTATACACTTTTTTGGGGCCACGTATACGCTAGGTATACGCTTGTCCGGGCAGGCGAAAACTTCTCTCCAGGCAGGGAGAAAAAACCGTGTATAGGGAGGGGGGAAAGGGGGAATGTGGTGCGGGCCATAGTTTTTCATAGCAGCATGAACCAGAGAACATAGTTAAGCCTTTAAGGCATAAATAACCGCCATGTCAAGGTTTTATCATGTCGACATGGCGCTGCCTAAAAAACGAGGCGACGTGGCTTGAAGATTCTAGCTTAGTCTGCCGCCTAATTTGGCTGGTAAGTTACGCTGCGCAATCTGTGTTAGGTTTAGCGCGTTCAGTGGTAGAGGTAGACAGCACATTTGACGTTTGGTTGGGTTTGGTAGATGCCTCGGGATGCAGTGCGGTTGGGGGGGCAGATTGGTTGGAAGTTGGATTTGGGAAAAAAATTGGGGTCTCGACATTTCGAGATAGTGTGGCTGGCTTCGGCACGTCGCGATGTGGCGATCGTTTTTTTTTTTCTCGACGGGCTGCCCTCGAAATTTCAGCCGAGCGTATAGCGTTTATACGCTCGTATAGCGTATAGCGTATATACGCTGCTTATATACGCTAAACGCTGTGGATTCTGACCGTTTAGTGCAACTTAGCTCCACACCAGGCTCATGGCTTCAACCAGGCTCAGCTGCTCGTGCTGTGGGAGGGGAGGGGTGGAGGAGAGGGGTGAAGGAGGGGATAGGTTGTTCTCAGGTTGGCTTGGAATTCGGGTTTCGGGTTTAGGGTTTACACCACAACCGGGACGGTGGACGACACCGGTGGACGGTGACGGTGGACGGTGGACGGTGGACGCCACCAGTGGACGATGGACGCCACCAGTGGGCAGTGGACGGTGGACGCCACTGGTGGACGGTGGACGATGGACGGTGGACGGTGGACGCCACCAGTGGACGGTGGACGCCACCAGTGGACGGTGGACGCCACCAGTGGACAGTGGACGCCACTGGTGGACAGTGGACGACACTGGTGGACGATGGACGCCACCACTGGACGCTGGACGGTGGACAGTGGACGCCACCGGTGGACGGTGGACACCCCGGTGGATGGTGGACGGTGGACGCCACCGGTGGACGGTAGACGGTGGACGGTGGACGGTGGACGGAGGACGGTGGACGCCACCGGTGGACGGTAGACGGTGGACGGTGGACGGTGGACGGAGGACGGTGGACGCCACCGGTGGACAGTGGACGGTGGATGGTGGACGCCACCAGTGGACGGTGGACGGTGGACGCCACCGGTGGACGGTGGACGCCACCCGTGGACGGTGGAGGTCTCCGCTGCCCCCTTTGCTCTGTTTCTCCTCTCTCTCAATCATTCTCAACCGTTCTCGATGGCTCTCAACCATTCTCAGCCGTTATCAACCGCTCTCGACCGTTTGTAACCCACACTCACCTCCTTCCCAATAATCTCCTTAAGCTGCTCTGACGGTCTCCTGGGAAGCCGTATCAGACGAGCACGCTCTGCCCCTCCTTTGTATCCGTGGCCTCGCTCCTTCTCCTCAGCATCGGAATTGGTCTTTGCGTTCCTCCCAGCCTCCTTCCTTTCCTCCTTTCTCTGCCGTTTCACCATGCCTGCCTCTCCAGGAGCCTCCAAAGGCCTTTCAGTCTCCCCTCTCTCAGCTGCATCCACTTTCCTCGCGTCAGCTGCTCCCGCCTCCTTGCTCCTTTTCACACTCACCTCCTGGCTACCTTTCTTGCCTGCCATTTCAGAAACCTCCAAAGGATTTTCCATCCCCCCTCTCTCAGCTGCCTTCCCCCCATCCGCTTTGCTCACTCCCGCTTCCTCACCCTGCCCCTCCTTGCTCCTCTCCGCACTCGCCTTTCCTCCTTTCCCCACATCAACAGCCTGCGCCCCCTCTCCTGTCAACACCGTCTCTCGCTCATTCTCTCCGCTCTCCCCTCCCTTCGCATCCTTCCTTGCGCTTTTGCTTGTCCCCACGTCAACAACCTTGCCTCCCTTGCCGGCCTTAACAGCCTCAACAGCTTCCGCCCCCTCATCTCCACTTCCATTGCCCACTCCTTTGCTCGCGTCAGCTGCCTCCCCCGCCTCCCCCTTATTGCTCCTTCTCGCACTCGCCTTTCTTCCTTTCCCTAAGTCAACAGCTTCCGTCCCCTCCCCCTTCGGCGCCGTCTTTCCCTCTACCTCTCCCTTAATCTCTTCTCTTGCAACGGCTGCCCCGTTGCTTGCCCCTTTGCTCGCCCCTTTACTTGTTGCCACTTTAGCCGCCTTGCCTCCCTTGCCGGTCTTTGCAGCTTTAGCAGCTTTCCTTGTCGCTGCTCGCTCCACCCTTGCTTGCTTCACCTGCAGTCGCTCAATTGCGCTCTCTAGCGTCACATCATCTATAACAACATTCTGCAGGGGTGGGGGTAAGGGTGGTTGGGGGTGGGGTGGGGGAGGGAGGAGAAGATTTGTTTGTCCTCGCTTGCTTCACCTGTAGTCGCTCAATGGCGCTCTCTAGAGTCACATCGTCAATAGCCACGTTCTGGAGGTATGCCGGGGCCGGGGGCGGAGAAAAGGGGGGGGTGCGGTGGGAAGAGGGGGGGGGGGAGCAGGAAGGGGTGGGGGGGGGGCGCTGGTATTGTGTGGGAGATCCAGGGGTGCAATCCAAACCTTGCCTGCTGCTTCACTTGAAGACGCTCAATAGCGCCCAGAACAGAGTCACATCGTCAACAGCAACGTTCTGCTGGGGAGGGTCCAAAGAGAAGCCAAAGGAATCGTTGACGATACACATATTCCCATATGCACATAGTGCACCGCACATCACCATATCTCCTCCCAGAGATTCTTGAGAACTCTAAAAAATCTCTCTCAAATAGAAGCCAAAAGAATCGTTGACGATACACATATCCCCACACGCACATATAGCCATTAAGCGTTAGGGTGGGCAGCAGCGAAGAGGAGAAACTTTAGCAAAAAGAGTGACAGTGGGTGAATTGATACCCCTGTTAAAAACCGAGAATTCGAAGCTCCGAACTCAACTCCACTAGAAGATTAAAACGCAAACTAGTTTCGGCTGACTGGGACAGGCCCCAAATCAGACCTTCATCAGTGCTGGTGGAATTATAAAAGTGAGTTTACAAGCGAGCTCTTAAACAAAGACTGCGCTACGAGAACAACAACTTCAAGGTTGGAACAACCGTGACTGAAATCTGGTCAGCCAATCCAAAACACCCTGGAAAGGTCCAAGGTGCCAGGTCTTCATTCCTCGGGGCGTGTCGTGGGTAACCCACATCTCGCCAGCTGGTGCTCAGGGAGCCTCGCGCGAACAAGTAACTTTTGCAAGTTACGCCCAGCCTTCCATGCGACAAAAATTCTCTCAGTGTATAATCCATGTGTAATGAGTCGATTTTTGAGTCGACTCAAAACGACCCCTAGTTTGAGACGGGCCGACACAGGTGTGTAGGTCGTCTTCAGAACTAGGGGTCCACGTGATGAGGGGAGAGAATGTCGTCGAAGTTGCTGGTTTGCGAGAGTGTTGGCGAGTAGTGTTGCGCGTTGCGCGAAAAGGACGCCCTTGAAGATCGGTTGAAGGAAAGCAGGGGGGTAACCCCGGTCGCGAAGCCGCTGGAAGGAAGCCTGCTTCGTTGCAAGAAAGGTGCGCATGGAGGTCGAACGCAGTAAGTAACGCTGCAGTTCGGCGCGTATGAAACCTTCCTTGCAGTGTCGGGGGTGGAAGGAGGAAAAGGGGAGGTAGAGGTATCTGTTCATCGGTTTCTGAAAAGTGCCGAGGTCCAGACGACCGCACTCCTTGAAACGCTGCCCCTTGTGGAGGACAACATCCAGAAAATCAACGGAGTGCTCCGAGATATTCCACGTGATCCTGATGGAAGGATCCAAGCCGTTGAAAGTTCGCAGGTACTCCTCCAGGTCAGCCCGCGAGCCTGGCCAAATGATAAGGCCATCGTCGATGTAACGGACGTGGTAACTTGGTGATATCCCGGTCCACCTCTCCTTGAGCAGCTCGTCGAGACGGCTCATAAAGAGGACCGCAAAGCAGACTGCGACTGGAGTTCCCATCGCAGTGCCTTGTACTTGATGAAAAATCCTGCCGTCGAATTCCACGAAAGAATTCCTCATGACCCATCCCAAGAAAGCCATGAGCGGTTGAGCGAGCTGTGTTGGTGCCCTCAGAAGAAAATTGCTAACTGCTTCGAGCCCTCGATCGATGGAGATGCTTGGGTAAAGCGAGGTGACGTCGTAGGTGGCCAGAAGTACAGTTGGTGGAAAGACCGTAGCTTCCAGCTTCGCTAGCAAAGAGAGGGAGTCGCGCAGGTAGGTCGGTTGTTTGAGTACTAGCGGTCGTAGTTGAGAATCCAGCCATCGGCTCACATTAGTCGTGACCCAGGAGTGTGAGGCGGCGATCGGTCGTCCCACGGGTACTTTCTTGTGAAGCTTCGGCAGGATGTAGAATGCCGCTGATCGCCAACCCCCTGGCGGTCGATCGAAAAAGTATTTCCAAAGACTGTCAGGAAAAGCAGGTCCCCACGTCGCCTTCAGCTCCACCAGTTGCTGTAGAACAGAAGGAGTTGGGTCGTGATGAACCGGCTGGTACACTGTCGCATCCTCAAGATGCTCCATGCAGAGAGCGATGTAGTGCGCGCGGTCCATCACAGTTACTCCGACGTTTTTATCAGCAGGCTTGATGACGATGTCGCTGTCGAGCGATAAGGAGCGTAAAGCCGTTCGGACTCCTCGCGGAAGGTTAAGTCCTCGTGACGGCTTACACGCTTTCAGCAGGAAAGATAGGTCGGCTCGCGCCTCCTTGAAGACAGGCTCCGGGACCACGTCCCGCTCGGGTCTCCAGCTTGGATTCTTCACCCGGAAACGTGATGAGGCTGAAGACCCTTGATCCTTGAAGAAAAAATTGAGGGAGATCTGTCGATGCAGTTGATCCAGATCTGCTTCGATGGAAAAAATCCATGGCGGCGTAGGTACGAATTTGAGTCCCATCCCGAGCGCCTTGGTTTCGTCGTGAGATAAAACCTTGGAGCTCAGGTTGTGTACCCCCCGGTTCTGGACGCGTGACTGCAGCTGCTGTAAAGTCAGTCGTCCGAACCGGCGGAGTGCGAGATCTCGTGCAGTTAGTTCTTGCGCGGCCCTTTTCCTGGGCCGCCGCCGCCGTTTTTTGGAACTTGGGCCGTAGTCGAGGAAGATTGTTGGCCTTTCCCTCCGCTGCCGCTTGGAGACTTCGTTTTCTTCTTGCCTCTCCCTCGTTTCTTCGGAGCCTTCGGTACATCTGCCTTGTTCCCAGAAGAGTTGTTCTTCAGGTTCTTGGACGGGTCCGCCTTGGGCTTAGAAGACGAGGGGGGCGGTTTAGGATCCTGCGATCCCATCGACAAACTCTTCTGGAACTTCGCAGTCAACTTCGCCTCGACGCTCGCAGTGACGTTCGCAGTAACGCTCGCCACAACTTCCTTGCGCATCGCCTCGACTTGCCGCTTAGTAGCTTTCAGCACGAGTTCATCGAGTACCGGAGCCGTTTCCATTTTCTCCATCTCTTCAGCAGTAGCAGCTTTCTTCAACTCTTCAGCTTCACGAGCCTTCTGCTTGTGTAGTTCCTGGATGATGATCTCATCCTTGGCGGTGACGATCTCAGACTTGGCCTGCTCGATGCACGACGCTTTGATCTTCCGGAAACGCTCTTTAGCCGCATCAGATACGGTGAGCTCGGGGTCGGAGCTGAGGCCTTGTATGTAGTCTTCGAGGTTGGCCGCTAGAACTGCCACGTGAGAGGCGGATGCTGACTGAATTTCCTCAACCTCCGCCTCCTTAGACTTGATGAAATCCTCCTGAATGCGCTTCTGGTTCTCGAGATGAACCGAGGCGACCGATGCAGCCGACTTTTCCCGCGTCAAAGGGTACTTGGTCTGGAACTCCGCGACCTTGGTGCGAAGGCTGTGAAGAATCACACCTTGCTCGTGGAGGGCCTTCATCTTCTTCAGTTTAGATTTCGCCTTGAGGAGTGCCTTGAAGTCCGTCCTGAAGCCCTTGACCGCCGCCGCCGTCCAGCCTTTGAAAGGCTCCGGAATGCGAGACATACGATCGGTAGTCGGGTTGACAGAAGCCTGATCCACAGGCTTGCCAACGTTCTGGACGTCCATGTCGGCCATGTCGGGAGAATCTTCAGATTGCTTGTCTTGCTCGTCTTCCTCGCGAATCGATGCAGAATTTCCAACTCCTTTGCCGGTGCGGGAACGTTTGTAACCTGCGTAGGTCTTGGAGGAGTGGTCCGCTCCGCGTGGAATCAGTGCGAAACTCGTATCTTCTTCGCCGGCGTCACCCAAAGAAATTGGGAAACCCAATGAACTTGTGGCCATTAAGCGTTAGGGTGGGCAGCAGCGAAGAGGAGAAACTTTAGCAAAAAGAGTGACAGTGGGTGAATTGATACCCCTGTTAAAAACCGAGAATTCGAAGCTCCGAACTCAACTCCACTAGAAGATTAAAACGCAAACTAGTTTCGGCTGACTGGGACAGGCCCCAAATCAGACCTTCATCAGTGCTGGTGGAATTATAAAAGTGAGTTTACAAGCGAGCTCTTAAACAAAGACTGCGCTACGAGAACAACAACTTCAAGGTTGGAACAACCGTGACTGAAATCTGGTCAGCCAATCCAAAACACCCTGGAAAGGTCCAAGGTGCCAGGTCTTCATTCCTCGGGGCGTGTCGTGGGTAACCCACATCTCGCCAGCTGGTGCTCAGGGAGCCTCGCGCGAACAAGTAACTTTTGCAAGTTACGCCCAGCCTTCCATGCGACAAAAATTCTCTCAGTGTATAATCCGTGTGTAATGAGTCGATTTTTGAGTCACCATATACCTTCCAGATTCACTAACCCCCAGGTGAGTCTCTCACCGTGCCCAGGGATGCTCTGATCCGCCCCACTCCTGGCAAGTCGTGCTCCAAGTAGAAGCCAAAGGGGCCGCTGCACAGATACACGGTGCCTCCCTCTGGGTGCAGGCCCTGGTGGTATTGGGGTAAGGGGGCGGGGGAAGGGGGAAGGGGGAGGAGAGGAGGTACGAGTGGAGCTTCATTTGACAGGTGAAGCTGTTGCACGGATACACGGTGCCTCCCTGTGGGTGCGGGCCCTGGTGGTATTGGGGTAGAGGGGTTGAGAAGAGGGAGGGAGAAACCAGAAAAGGGGTTGAGGAAGCGGAAAAGGGAAGAGAGAAAGAAACCAGGGCAGAGAAAAAGACACTCGAGAACGACGGAAGACGGAAAAAGGTTAGTAAAGAGCAAAAGACGGTTGAATCAACGGACACTCACTACGACTCGCGGAAATGCGAGGAGTTCGAGTGCGTTGGGGAGATCAACCGAGTCTGGATGCATGCCCTGGTGGGTGGTCGAGGGGTGCAGGCAGGGGTGGGTGGTAGAGGGGGTGCAGGCAGGGGTGGGGGAGTGAGACGCAAATGGCACAAGGGAAATGCGAGGAGCTGGAGTGCCTTGGAGAGATCAACTGAGTTTGCAGGGTATTTTTAATAATTCTTAAAAATAGGATGCATGCCCTGCAGGGGGGGGAGGGCAGACAGGGAAGGGGGAGGGAGAAGCATGGGGCAAAGGAGGGACGGAAGGCAAGCCTGGAGGGGGGATGCTAGCAGCTCGAGTGCCTTGGAGAGATCAACAGAGTCTGGATGTTACCTGGGAGAGGTGTTACCTGGGAGAGGTGTACCTGGGGGAGGTGTACCTGGGGGAGGTCTTACCTGGGAGAGGTGTTACCTGGGAGAGATGTACCTGGGAGAGGTGTACCTGGGAGAGGTGTGCCTGGGGGAGGTGTTACCTGGGAGAGGTGTTACCTGGGAGAGGTGTACCTGGGAAAGGTGTTACCTGGGAGAGGTGTACCTGGGAGAGATGTTACCTGGGAGAGGTGTTACTTGGGAGAGGTGTTCCCTAGGACGTGGTACTTACCAGGGGCAGCGAGGCTCAGTGGACTTTGGAGACGTTGCCGTATGACGACCACTCTACACAGGGCGGGGCAGCGCATGCGTCACATGGGGAAGTGTTACCTGATGGAGGTGTTACCTAGAAGAGGGGAGGTTTTATCTGGGAGATGCTACTAACCGGGGGCAGCGAGGCTCGGTTGACTTTGGAGACCTTGCCGTACGATGACCGCTCCACATAGGCGCCATACGGGCCCACTTTGAGCCAGATCTGTAGAGTAGATTGGAGGGATGAAAACAAGAGAGAGAAATGCACCATGAAAACTATGACATGCTCTGATGTCATATGACGACCGCTCCACATAGGCGCCGTAGCCGTAGGGCCCCACTTTGAGCCAGATCTGTAGAGTGGATTGGAGAGATGAAAACAAGAGAGGGAGGCAAGCCACGGGGACCCACTCTGAGCCGTTTCCCCTGGCACTTTGCACCAGTATTCGGATCGTTGCCAATGATTTGCGCACTGGGTTGCCACTGCTAGCCCACTGCTAGCCCCACCCATCCCATAACGCCCATCTCCCTCCCCCCCCTCCCCATCCCCACCTTGGCCCCCGTGTTGGGGTCCTCCCCAGTGATATGCACAACTGGGTCGATTGCCACCACACCTGTGCTAGGGCTCCCGGCTTGTCCACTTGCTCCACCACACCTGTGCTTTCCCCCTCTCACCTTGGCCCCTGTGTTTGGCCCAGCCCACCCTCCCCCACCCCTCCCTCACACAGTCAACCCCTCCCCCACCCCTCCCTTCTTCTGACCTTGGCCCCTGTGTTGGGGTCCTCCCCTATGACATGCGCAACTGGGTCGATTGCCACTGCTAGGGCGCCCGGCTTGTCCTCCTGCTCCACCACACGGGCCTTGAAGCTGCAAGAGAGAAGGGGGGGGAGGGAGGGAGTCAAAAAGAAAGGCTTTAACTGCCAATTGCCACTGCTAGGGCGCCTGGCTTGTCCTCCTGCTCCACCACTCGTGCCAAGGGGGCGGGCGGAAAGGGGGAGAGGGAGAGAAGCGTGCTATTACGCAGAAGGGAAGGGAAGGAACGGAGGGAGGGCAGGCGACATAACTCATGACTATAGCAAAAACAGAAGAGAGGAAAAAATGGTCGACAGATTGGCGCGTGGGGTACGGAGAATGCAATTTTTTCTTGCCTTGAAGCTGCGGGGGGGCCGGATGGGGGGAGGGGGAAAGGGAGAGAAGCGTGCTATTACGCAGCAACAAGAACTCATAACTAAAGCGAAAAGAGAAGAGATTGAGATTTAGTTTTGAGGCGCCTCAAAACTAGCTGCGGGGGGGGGGGGGGGGGGGGGGGGTCCGGGGAGGGGGAAAGGGAGAGTAGCGTGCTATTACGCAGCAACAAGAACTCATAACTAGTACCAGTAAAAAGAGGAGAGATTGAAACTTGCACGGAATGGGAACAGAGGAAGAGATGGTGAACGGATTGGCACGTGGGAGGGATACATCATACACAACACAGAAAGCATTTTATTTTTGGTGACTAAAAAAGAAGAGAAAGAAAAAGGGCCAACAGACTGGCATGTGGGGTAAGCGGAGCAGCCCAAAAAGAGGCCCACGCCGCGCGGTGACTTTTGAGTCGACTCACGAGTCACCCTTGGCACAAACAGGAAGGCCGGCTCACTGGCATGTGGGGTAAGCCGAGCAGCCGACAAAGAGCCCCACGCCGCGGCTGGAGAAGTTGTACTCCAGCTCGCCTGACCCGCAACTGATGGATGGGAGGGGGGAAGTGGGGGGGGAGGGGCACAGAGTGGGGGGGGTAGGAGAGAAAGAGAGGAGTTGAGAGCCCCACGCCGCGGCTGGAGAAGGTGTACTCGAGCTCGCCTCTCGCACAGCTGGGGGGGTATGAGGGGGGGCAAAGGGGAACGAAGGCGACGAGGAAGTGGGGGGTTTGAGTTGAGCCCCAAGCCGCGGTTGGGAAGAGTTACTCGAGCTCGCCTCTGCCACAGTGAGGTGGACAGCGAGGTGGGGGAGGGGGGGGGGGAGGGGGGGAAGGGGAGAGGCAGGTTAGATGTGTGTTGAGGCCCTTGCGCACATGACGTGGCTTGAGAAGGTGTACTTGAGTTGGCCGCTCTCACAGCTGGGGGAGAAGAGGGGGAGGAGGGAGGCACAGAGGAATATGAGAAGGTGTACTCGAGCTTGCCTGATGATATGGACCTGGAAAAGGGGGGAGGGGGTGTTGGGGGGTTGTCGGGGGGGGTGTTGGGGGTTTGTCGGGGGGGGTGTTGGGGGGGTTGTCGGGGGGGTGTTGGGGGGGTTGTCGGGGGGGTGTTGGGGGGTTGTCGGGGGGGTGTTGGGGGGGTTGTCGGGGGGGGTGTTGGGGGGGTTGTCGGGGGAGGTGTTGGGGGGGTTGTCAAGGGGGGGTGTTGGGGGGGACGAACAAGAACAAGGATGGTAAGGGACGAGGGTAGAGTTTGTCGGAAACTCCTCTCTGCCTCTGCCTCCCTTCACCTTCTGCTCACCTTGGCTTCTCCTCTGCCTGTGGGGCGTTCTCTTCTCCCATCTGTCCTCATCCGTGCATCCTGCTCCTCGTGACTGTACTCAGCCTCATAGAAAAGGATCCTTTCTACCTGCTCTGTCCTTTCTAGTTTTGAGGCGCCTCAAAAAAGGATCCTTTCTACCTGCTCTGTCCTTTCTGAGTGGCAAGGTCACCTAGCGCGTGATAGGAGTCTAGTTTTGAGGCGCCTCAAAACTAGGCCCGGGGTCACTGAAATCCACTATGGTTGAAACTTGAAAGAGCAATACAGCAGAAGCAACAAGGACACACCCCAACCCTCAACCAAAAGGAACCGGTTAGGCGAGCTGCGTATTTCTCAATGTGCGTCTTCAAGCCGCGTTTCCCCCGCTTCCCATTGGCCCGTCGAATTTCATCCGCCAGCTCCGTCGTCCCCTTAAAACTTCCCCACCTACCACCCACCTACTTTCCCCAACCCTCGATGTTCTTCATATAGTACACCTGCGTACCATACAGTAATATACACCATACATCCTCCAAACACTTTACTCCTTCAGTCCCTCTTGTCATATAAATGGTGGATTGCTCTGCCATTTCTGTGACAAGTTGAGAGGTCGAAAAGGGGAATCATTTTTTAGAATTCTAAAAAATGACTCCACTGTAGCAGGAGGAGGTAAAAAAGGGAATCGAGAGGGCACCTGGGACAAGCCTTGGAAGCTGATGGTGGTGACAGGGATGCTACCGATGATGATGCGGATGGTGTTGCCACCGCTGATGGTGACAGTTCCAAAGTGGGAGGTGACGGGGAGGCGGAGGAGGAAGGGGTGGCGGAGGAGGGAGGGATGGAGGAGAAGGGAGGAGCAGAAGCGCGGGCACGGGCATCGGAAAGCACTTGGGAGTACGTCGCTGCTGCCTCCACGAGTAGCCCATCGCCCAGCGTCACTTGCACAGCCGACCCAACCTGAGGGATATGGAAGTGGGGAGAGGAAGGTAGGAAGTGCGAGGTTGGGATGTGAGGAGCTCATAAGACACAAGGCACACGCACTTGATAGTAGGTCTCTCTCTGCTCCTTCCATGCTTTTGAGTCGACTCAAAAGCACCTCAAAACTAGATTCTCTGCTCCTTCCATGCTTTTGAGTCGACTCAAAAGCGCCTCAAAACTAGACTCTCTGCTCCTTCCATGCTTTTGAGTCGACTCAAAAGCGCCTCAAAACTAGACTCTCTGCTCCTTCCATGCTTTTGAGTCGAATCAAAAGCGCCTCAAAACTAGACTCTCTGCTCCTTCCATGCTTTTGAGTCGACTCAAAAGCATGGAAGGAGCAGAGAGTCTAGTTTTGAGACGCACTTGATAGTAGGTCTCTCTCTGCTCCTTCCATGAGTGGCCCATCGCCCAGAGTCACTTCCACCGCCGACCCGACCTGAGGGGTGGGGTAAGCGGGGAGCGAGGATTGGAGAAACGGAAGTGTGAGGTTGGGCTTATGGAATCTCGTAAGACACAAGGCAAGCACTTGCGAGTAGGTCGCTGCTGCTTCTATCAGTAGCCCATCGCCTGGAGTCACTTGCACAGCTGAGCCCACCTGCGGGGTAAGAAAGAGTGGTGGGACCTGAGAATGAAAGCTAAGGGCGTAGGTCGCTGCTGCTTCCACCAGTAGCCCATTGCCGGGAGTCACTAGCACTGCTGACCCAACCTGAGGGGTAAGAAAGATAGGGCATGCAGCAGCTCCGGTGCAAGGGACAGGAAACATAGACTCATGTCACCAGTCAACACCAGGACATCCACTTGCCCCTCCCTTCCCCTCCTCAACCCCCATTCTCTCTAATCACTCCCCCCCTCCCTCCCCTCCACCACTCACAGCTTGAGGCGATAGCTTCTGCATTTCCTCCACTCTCGGTTGGAAGTCGTTCCAGAAGGTTCTGAGAACCTTCCGCCAGTCTCCTTCTCCTGCTGCCACGTCATCAAACTGCAATGAACGGAGGAAGCCGGGAAGAAACGGCAGGGGGAAGGATTTTGGAAACCGACTCGAGCATATATGTTCTATGCCAACGTGCTGTGGGTCGTTTCTCAGCAGCTCACCTTGGACTCGAGGCGTGCCGTGAAGCCTGCATTGACGTACGGCTCCATAAAGTGCAGGAGACTAGTTTTGAGGCGCCTCAAAACATCAAGTGCAGGAGACTAGTTTTGAGGCGCCTCAAAACATCAAGTGCAGGAGACTAGTTTTGAGGCGCCTCAAAACATCAAGTGCAGGAGGAAAGAATGCGCTGGCCTGCAGTTTCCTGAGCTGGAAGGCAGACATATCCTGCAGGGTGAGAATTCTCAAAAACACCCTGCAAAAACGGAAGGCAGACATATCCTGTGCAGGAAATGTAGCTTTGAGGCGCCTCAAATGTAGCATCACAGGAATGCCTGCTAGACTTCTCAGCAGCTCACCTTGGACTCGAGGCGGGCAGTGAAGCCTGCATTGACGTATGGCTCCATAAAGTGCAGGAGGAAGGCGTTTGCCTGCAGACAGGGAAGAGCAAAGGAGCACACATGCATGCATGGAAACAAACAGGGTTGCACGAGGCCAGTTAGTGAGGCGCATCAAACAAAGCATATTCTCCAGGCGGCTCAGAGGCAGCGGAGGAGAAACGCCCATTGATGTGCAGCAGTAAGTAAGGCAGGAAATGCGCTGATGAAGGCCTCTGCTGGCCGAAACGCGTTTGTTCGCACGCGGCATTCGGGCCTATGTGTCTGAGGTGACTTTTGAGTCGACTCAGAGGTCCGTGTGTAATGAGTCGATTTTTGAGTCAACTCAGAGGTCCGTGTGTAATGAGTCGATTTTTGAGTCGACTCAAAAATCCGTGTGTAATGAGTCGATTTTTTAGTCGACTCAGAGGTCCGTGTGTAATGAGTCGATTTTTGAGTCGACTCAGAGGTCCGTGTGTAATGAGTCGATTTTTGAGTCGACTCAAAAATCCGTGTGTAATGAGTCGATTTTTGAGTCGACTCAGAGGTCCGTGTGTAATGAGTCGATTTTTGAGTCGACTCAGAGGTCCGTGTGTAATGAGTCGATTTTTGAGTCGACTCAGAGGTCCGTGTGTAATGAGTCGATTTTTGAGTTGACTCAGAGGTCCGTGTGTAATGAGTCGATTTTGAGTCGACTCAGAGGTCCGTGTGTAATGAGTCGATTTTTTAATCGACTCAGAGGTCCGTGTGTAATGAGTCGATTTTTGAGTCGACTCAGAGGTACGTGTGTAATGAGTCGATTTTCGAGTCGACTCAGAGGTCCGTGTGTAATGAGTTGATTTTTTAGTCGACTCAGAGGTCCGTGTGTAATGAGTCGATTTTTGAGTCGACTCAGAGGTCCGTGTGTAATGAGTCGATTTTTGACAGAGGTCACCTATATGTCTGGCTTTCTGACGAAGAAAAAATCCTGCGACCATTCTCACAGTCTAGTTCAGTTTAAGTCCAGTTTTAAGATCCACACTTAGCAGGCGTGCTGCGGATCAGACCCATCGCGTTTTCATTGATGTGCTGGAGTAAGGCAGCTCTAACGCCAGACACAATAGGCCCGGATGTCGCGTGCAAACTCGTTTCGGCCAGCAATAGGCATTCATCAGCACACTGGCTGGAGAAGCCATCTCCTTTTCATATGTGCTGGAGTAAGGCAGTTCTAACTAAGGGTCTTGCGTTAAAATAAAGGCGCAACTTCTAACGGTTTTCCGAACAAAGGCATGCCCGCCTCACCACCACAACTACGGACAAATCAAATCAAATCAAATCATCATGAATGTCGGTAACTCACCAGCCTCCCCCTTATTGTGGGGTGCAACCTGCGAGAATCCAACTCCACATACTTGCGATCCTGGGGAGAGCGGTGGGAATGAAGGAAGGGGGGAGAGGGGCGGGGAGCAAAAGGGTGAGGAAGGAGAGGGGGGGAGGAAAGGGAGAAAGGAGGCACGGGTGAAGAGAGATGTGACAAGACACATGTGATTGCAGAGAGAGGTGACGTGATTACAGGAGGAGAAAGCCATGACAACCAGAACAGAAGAATATGATTAAAGCGGAAGTAATCTCATCAGGAACAATGCATTTACTAGCATGTGATTACACGGAGATGTGATTACTAGGAGATGTGTTTACAAGGAGAGTCTTGAGTGTGGGTGCATAGGTGGATGGTCTTCCTATCCCCTCCGCTTCCATTCGCTTGATCTGACAAGTGGGGAGGGGAGGGGGTGGGGCGACAGGGGGTGGGGGGGGATGGACAAGAAAGGCCATGATGTAACAGAGGGTAGGATAGAACCATAAAATCGTTAGTAGCAGGCATATGGTACTGTACCTAGTACGGGGGATAATTATACTCTTTTGCATACGGTGCAGAGGCTAATGCGCATGTGGTACTGTAATTAATACTCAATTTTAAAGGGACAAATCTCTTCCCCCCCTAGCTTCTGAACCCTTGCCAAGGCACCCTGAGTGGGCTTTTGAGAATTCTCAAAAGCGGCGGTGATGAAGGTCAGAAGCTTACTATAGCAGCCTCGGTGTATGTTTTGAGTCAACTCAAAATTCTGAAAAAACAACAGTGATACAGGCCAAAAGTATACCAGAGCTGCCTCAGTGTATCTGGGAGGGGGCGCGTGAAGTGCTGATTGGGATCCACGGATTCGACCAATAGCCTGTCGCCAGGCTGGCGAGTTGGGGGGAGGAAGAGGTGAAGAGAACAAGAGGGGAGGGAGGAATAAAAGTGAACGGATCTTACCAGCGCTCATGGATGGTAGGATCAAGCATATGCAAGCCGGGATCGATTGTTTTAAAACCGAAAGGAAGGAAGAGCGAGATAGAAGGGATCGGAAGGGGTAATGATTTCTGATATACCGCAAAAAAACCATTCATTCATTCATTCATTCATTCATTTCATTCATTCATTCATTCATTCATTCATTCTTTCTTTCTTTCTTTCTTTCATTCTTTCATTCTTTCATTCTTTCATTCTTTCATTCTTTCATTCTTTCATTCTTTCATTCTTTCATTCATTCATTCATTCATTCATTCATTCATTCATTCATTCATTCATTCATTCATTCACTCATTCATTCACCTGCAGAGCATTGCTCGGAAATACACCACCAGTTCTAAGATATCGCTAAAAATATGCACCTGCAGGGCCATGATTTCCTGGAACACTTCTGACGTGGCAGCAGCACTGTCAGCCTCTGCTGACGTGGCATCGCCAGGTGGTGGTTCTGTGGAGATCCCTTCTGACAGGTCAGACAGGTGACCTAGCGCTGCCCGATCCTGATTGGAGGGGGGAAGGGGAAGACAAGAGAGGGATAAACATTTTGAGGGAACAAATTCGGAGCTCCCTTGTAGAATGTATTATCACAAGGTAGGTACTTGTGACTTCCACTAGCGTGAAGCTTTCAAAAAGCTGGAAGACAAGCAGTAGCCAGTTTTGTAACAGAGCACTGTTGGTTTTTAGGATTCTAAGAAAAAAACTCAAACTGACACAAGCAGTGACCAGAATTGCAACAGAGTACTACTAACGAAACGACTCACACTATAGACAGCGAGGAAGCCAGAGCACACAATGGCGAAGGAGTTGGCTCGAAGCATGCCAGGCGAAGAGGATGGGAGCTGAGGAGCCTCGAGCACAAGTTGTGTTTTGAGGCGCCTCAACCTTGGCTTGCGTGGGGTCAGATGGTACAGGTGCCAGGGACTCACACTATAGGCATGTGACTTTGAGTCGACTCAAAAGTCACCTTGGCTTGCGTGGGCTCAGATCGTACCGGTACCAAGGACTCACGCTGTAAGCAGCAAGGAAGCCAGGCCATGCGATGGCAAAGGCGTTGGCTCGCAGCATGGCAGGAGGAGGGGATGGGAGCTTAGGAGCCTCAGAAGTCACCAGGTGGTATCATTGTAGCAACAAACTAGCGACTTACACTGTAGGCCGCAAGGAAGCCAGGCCACGCAATGGCAAAGGAGTTGGCTCGGAGCATGGCAGGAGGAGAGGATGCATTTTGAGGCCGCTCAACAAGCAGTTGAGACTCAGGTGCCTCGAGCATTGGTGAAGGGGGTGCATCGGGTGCTTCGATGGGGGGTGGCACGGAGGGGAGAGAGGACTGCGAGGAGGCAGGAGAGGGGAAGTTGGAGAGCAGGGAGGGGTCACGGGGATGTGCCGCGACGTCCACTGCTACCTGAGAGGGGGGACAAGCGGGGAGTTTTAAGGAACGAGGGAAATCCGTAGGTGACTTTAGTTTTGAGGCGCCTCAAAACGCGACGTCCACTGCTACCTGAGAGGGGGGGAATGCGGGGAGTATAAGGAACGTAGGTGACTTTTGAGTCGACTCAAAAGTCACCCATGGAGTATAAGGAACGAGAAGACATGATGAGAGAGAGGGAGGGGCGTAGGGCCAACAAGGAGGGGCATGGGAAGGTAGAATGGAGAGGGTTGAGAGAACAGGATGGAAGGAGGGGAGCGAGAGTGACGGGCAGCAAAAAGAGAGTTTTTTTCTTTCTGCAATCTGACAGTAGTGTGCTTGCTTGCTCCTACACAAAAGGGGAACTCCCTTTCAGCGAACAGTGTACTCTCCACTAAGAGCGAGTGTAACCAACGTACTCACCCGTAAAAAGCGAGTGTAAACAGCATACTCATCATACGCACCCTGTCGTAGACAGCGTTTGCCATCTGAGAGGCAGCGAATCGAGCCCAGATGAGCGCATAGAGCTTCCACTGCTCCTCCGACAGATCAGCCTTTACCAGGCCTGGAGTGGGGAGAAGTGGGTTGGTCGGGGGGATGTCGAGGTGTAAGGGAGGGGGTGTAAGACGGGAGGGCAACTATCAGGCACGAAGGTCCAAATGAGCGTGATAGAAGTCTAGTTTTGAGGCGCCTCAAAACTGGGAGGGGGTGTAAGAAGGGAGGGCAACTATCAGGCAACTATCAGGCAACTATCAGGCAACTATCAGGCAGCTATCAGGCAACTATCCCTCCCTTCTTCGTGCGCACGAAGGTCCAAATGAGCGCATACAGCGTCCACTGCTCCTCCGTCAGATCAGCCTTAACCAGCGCTGGAGGGGGTGTGGAGATGTAAGGGAACGGGTGTAAGAAGGGGGAAGTAACTATCAGGCACGAAGGACAAAATGAGTCCTGTACAGCATCCACTGCTCCTCCGTCAGATCAGCCCTCACCAGTGCAGGGGGAGGGGAAGGAAGGGATCGGACGAAAGTCGGGTGCAAAGGAGGCAGAGGGGAAGATCCGGCAGGGCATAAGATCCGGCCCATATGAGAGCGTACAGCTTCCATTGCTCCTCTGTCCGATCAGCCTTTACCAGCACTGGAAAGAAGTGGGGGAGGGAAGGAAGGCGGCCGTGGAGGGGGTGGGTAAAGGGAGAAGGGTGGGGTGGGGGGGAGGGAGGGAGAACGCAGGGGGGAGGGTGGCAATCAGATCCGAAGACTGCCCAATGCTCAAGAGTACCAAGCTCAAGAGCACCAAGCTCAAGAGCACCCACGCTCACGAGCACCCACGCTCAAGAGTACCCACGCTCAAGAGCACCCACGCTCACGAGCACCCACGCTCACGAGCACCCACGCCCAAGAGCACCCACGCCCAAGAGCACCCACGCTCAAGAGCACCCACGCTAAAGAGCACCCACAATCAAGAGCACCCACACTCAAGAGCACCCACACTCAAGAGCACCCACACTCAAGAGCACCCACGCTCAAGACCACCCACACTCAAGATAACCCACGCTCAAGAGCACCCACACTCAAGAGCACCCACGCCCAAGAGCACCCACGCCCAAGAGCACCCACGCCCAAGAGCACCAAGGGCACCCACGCCCAAGAGCACCCACGCTCAAGAGGGGGGAATGGGGGCGGACGGGGAGACGGCACGTATGGGTGTATGGGTGTGGTACAGACCCACTTACCGTAATCCCCCGCATAGTGCACCCCCCAAAATTGAACACTCACCGGGAGTTTAATTCCGGTGGGTGTTATCCCAGATTCCCCACTTAGAACACCCGGCAAATCGATTTTTGAGATTTTCATAACACCCTCCACCTTTTTCAAGTCGACAGGTTAGAAACATAAGCATTCGCATTCGCACCACCCAACATCACGCATGAATCCTAGCGCAATCTAGGACGACAAATATGATTCTAGCCAACTGTACAGTCAAGAGATGTCAACGCCTGGGGAAAACGTAGCATGCTGTTCCCCACGACCAATGAAGTTGCTGAAAATATTCCGCAATTCGCGGCGCTATGATTGTACCGTACTCGTTTCGGAGCCTGAACCGAGACATAGCAATTGCGCCCAACTGGTGATTACTGATCTGCACACTTATTATCTGTAAAAACCATTTCGTAACACCCTTGGGTGTAATTTTTTCAATGGGTGTAAAAATAACACCCATCAAACGTATGGTATTTATAAGTACACCCTAGGGTGCCTTATACGGGGGATTATGGTACACGTCTGGGTGTATGGGTGTGGTACAGGCCCACTTACACGTCTGGGTGTATGGGTGTGGTACAGACCCACTTACTTACACGTATGGGTGTATGGGCGTGCTACAGGTAACTGCAAACCCACCTAATGGCTTCATGAGCCTCCTGGGCGTTCTTAGCTTTGGCAGAGAACACGCGGGGAAACAGCGGCACCACCGTACTTAGGGTTGAGCAAACTACCCGCCCGGGTCGGGTACCCGGTACCCGGACCCGCTTTTAGGGCGGGTCGGGTATCGGAAATCCTGAAAATTACCCGCCGGGTCGGGTCCGGGTTACCCGGGCCGGGTATCAATACCCGCTACCCGGAATGCTACCCGACGTGTCGGGTAACGGGTACCCGACCCGGTCGGGTAAAAAATTACCCGAGGTCGGGTATTCCACCTAGACATGGGCGTAAGTCGCGCTGTGTTTTAGGTTTTGCGGCAAAACAGTTTTGGAGGTGAGGGGGGACGAGTGGAGCCCTACCTAGCCTAGCCCTACCTAGCCTAGCCCAACTTTAGGATGTCCACTAGTAGGTGGCGGGTAAAATTACCCGCTTTTCAGGGGGTCCGGGTCGGGTATACCCGGACCCGCCAGACGGGTATTATAATACCCGCCTAAAAAAACCGGGTCCGGGTAAGGGTCCTGGGCATATTACCCGACCCGGACCCGACCCGAAATTACCCGACCCGAGGTCGGGTATGGCAAAACCGGGTCGGGTCGGGTCATTACCCGGTTTTGCTCATGCCTAACCGTACTGCCCACACGTGGAGTAGGGTGCGCTAATGGGGGGACTTTTGAGGCGACTCAAAAGTCACACCGTACTGCCCACACGTGGAGTAGGGTGCGCTAATGGGGGGACTTTTGAGGCGACTCAAAAGTCACACCGTACTGCCCACACGTGGAGTAGGGTGCGCTAATGGGGGGACTTTTGAGGCGACTCAAAAGTCACACCGTACTGCCCACACGTGGAGTAGGGTGCGCTAATGGGGGGACTTTTGAGGCGACTCAAAAGTCACACCGTACTGCCCACACGTGGAGTAGGGTGCGCTAATGGGGGGACTTTTGAGGCGACTCAAAAGTCACACCGTACTGCCCACACGTGGAGTAGGGTGCGCTAATGGGGGGACTTTTGAGGCGACTCAAAAGTCACACCGTACTGCCCACACGTGGAGTAGGGTGCGCTAATGGGGGGACTTTTGAGGCGACTCAAAAGTCACACCGTACTGCCCACACGTGGAGTAGGGTGCGCTAATGGGGGGACTTTTGAGGCGACTCAAAAGTCACACCGTACTGCCCACACGTGGAGTAGGGTGCGCTAATGGGGGGACTTTTGAGGCGACTCAAAAGTCACACCGTACTGCCCACACGTGGAGTAGGGTGCGCTAATGGGGGGACTTTTGAGGCGACTCAAAAGTCACACCGTACTGCCCACACGTGGAGTAGGGTGCGCTAATGGGGGGACTTTTGAGGCGACTCAAAAGTCACACCGTACTGCCCACACGTGGAGTAGGGTGCGCTAATGGGGGGACTTTTGAGGCGACTCAAAAGTCACACCGTACTGCCCACACGTGGAGTAGGGTGCGCTAATGGGGGGACTTTTGAGGCGACTCAAAAGTCACACCGTACTGCCCACACGTGGAGTAGGGTGCGCTAATGGCATTATGGTAACTGCAAACCCACCTGGCAGCAGGTGCGGGTGGGTGGGTCGGGTAGCCTCGTGCGCCTCCTGGGCGATCCTGGCTTTGCCAGAGAACACGTGGGGACGCGCCACTCCACCCTACCCCACTCCACTTGCCGACGCCCGACCCCCCTATACCTGCTGTGTACTGCGCATCTCCACCCACCTGGCAGCAGGTGCGGGTGGGTGGGTCGGATGGCCTCGTGCGCCTCCTGGGCATTCCTAGCTTTGCCAGAGAAGACGCGGGCAAACGGCGACACCATCTTGCTATTATACCTGCATGGGATTACAAGGTTTGGAAAAGATGGTTTGGGGATAGGTTTGGAAGAAGGTCCGGGAGGTGCTGCGAGACACCCAGGAGACACCTCTCCTGTAGCAAGCAAGGAGCCTTGAGGTGATTTGAATGAACTCACCTCTCCTGCCTTGAGGTGATTTGAATGAACTCACCTCTCCTGCCTTGAGGTGATTTGAATGAACTCACCTCTCCTGCCTTGAGGTGATTTGAATGAACTCACCTCTCCTGCCTTGAGGTGATTTGAATGAACTCACCTCTCCTGCCTTGAGGTGATTTGAATGAACTCACCTCTCCTGCCTTGAGGTGATTTGAATGAACTCACCTCCACCAGAGACGTCTCAAGAATACACCCAAACCCCAGGGAACCCAGACCCGGGGAACCGTGAGATGATCCCACCTCTCCTGCAGCAGGGATCGCATTCACACTGTCGGTGCGCATGTATGTGATCAGCGCAGCCACCATGCCCCCACAAGTAGGAGATACCTTGAGGCATGTCAGGAGCTGAGCGCGGCACTCACCTCTCCTGCAGCAGGGATCGCAGAGAGGCCACTGCAGCTTGGGACACATTCACGCTGTCGGTGCGCATGTATGTGATCAGCCCAGCCACCATCCCCCCACCAGCTCCCCTCCCTCCGCTCTTCCCTCCTCCCTCTGTCCCTACCGCCCCTTTAGCCGCCTGCTTTCTGAGCGCCTTGGAAGCCTCAGGGCCCAGCGCCACCCCTTCGTACAGCCGTTGAGCGACCTGGAATGGGGGGGGGGATGTGTTGTGTGAGGGTGTGCATGTGGGAGTGAGTGAGAGAGACAGAGAAGCACTGCTTTTGCAGGACCCTAGAAGCCTCAGGGCCCAGCGCTACTCCTTTGTACTCCAGCACCCTTAGCTGGAAGCCAGCACACTTAGCTGGGCGCCAGCCGCCCAAGACGGCTCTTGTTGGAGTTGGGGACTTGGAGTTGGGGACTTGGATCTTCACTCCATTGGCGCACTCCCTGCCACTAGCCACAATTCCACACACTCACCGCCATGGGTAATGAGTCGATTTTTTAGTCGACTCATTACACACTCACCGCCATGGTTGGCATGGAAGACGCCTCTTGTTGGAGAGATGAAGTGGTGAGGGGGGGAGAGGGAGACCTCCGAGTCTGCGACCGATGCACCTCTGCCACCTGCAGCGCGCTCCCTAGGGGTGACTCAGGGGCGAGTCAGGGGCGAGTCAGGGTTGACTCAGGGTTGACTCAGGGTTGACTCAGGGTTGACTCAGGGGTGACTCAGGGTTGACTCAGGCCCAAGACACTCACTCACTGCCATGCTTCTGCTGGGGCTGAAACCCAGTTTCGATTTCAAAGATTCCAAAGACTTACTGCCATGGTCCGGCTAGGGCTGAAACCGAGTTTCGAAGACGCCTCTTGTTGCAGCGATGAAGTGGTGAAGGGCGGAGAGGGGGACCTCCTGGTCTGCGACCGATGCACCTCTGCCACCTGCAGCTCACTCCCCTCCACCAGCACTGCCGCTGCTAGCGCCCTCTCTCCATCCCTTATCCCCCCCTCTCCTCCTCCTGCTGCTTTCCCATCTGATTCTTCTCTTCCCCCCTTTCCTCCTCCTCTCCCTCTTCCTGATTCTTTCCCCCCTCCCCCCCTCCCCCTCCTCCCCCTGCTCCCACCGGCTCCCCAAACAGGTGCGTAAGCCTAGCTGGGAAAGCCATGGGCGAATCCACCTCCCCAACTACTCCTCCCCCTGCTCCTACTGCTCCTGTTGCTTCCGCACCTGCTGCTGCTACCCCATGCACTGCCGTCTCTCCTCCTTCCAAGCTCCCAATAAGCCCCCTCTTAGTGCGACAAGCCTGCACCATCGCACTAACCGTCCAGTACTCCTGCGCATTAAACCCCGCCACCTCCCCCTCCCTCTCACACACAAACCTTAAAGCCACCGACTGAACTCTCCCTGCCGATCGACACCCGGGGAGCTTTCTCCAGAGCACAGGGGAGAGATTAAAGCCCATGAGAAAATCTAGCACGCGTCGGGCAAAGTAGGCGTCGACTAGAGGTTGGGAGAGGAGGCGGGGGTTGGCTAGAGCAGTGAGGACGGCTGAAGGGGTGATCTCGTGGAAGGTGGCTCGGTGGATCGTGAGATCGCAGCCGTTGGATCCGGCGGATGGGAGGAGCCACTGATCGTCGGATGGAGAGGGGGGTTGGGATGATGGTGATGCTGCTGCTGCTGTTGCTGATGGTGATGATGCTGATGCTGGTGTTAGAGGTGATGATGATGATAACGATGATTGTGGGCGTTTGAAATCCTTCAGCTCCTTCCTCACCTCCCCCAGTAGTTCCTCCCCCTCCAGCCACCCGTGCTCCCCCTCCTTCTCAACATGCCCTCCCTCATGCTCCCCAACTTGCTGCAGCAACCCCTCTCCACCCCCCTCAACCGCACCACCACCACTACCAACACCTGCAAATCCCTCTGCTTCGGGGCTCGCAAGGCTCGGCTCGGGAACTCCACTGGAGAAGATATCGGCTTCGCCCTCCTCCCCTTCTGCATCTCGTATAGCCGCTGCTGCCTCTCCTCCCTCCCTCGCTGCCTGCTCTGCCTCTGCTGCCAATTGCTCCTCATGCCACACTGCCTGCGGGGGTAATGAGGTGGGGGGTAAATGTTTATTCGTGATTTACAGGGCGATGAAATATCAGTTTCTGCTCTGCCTCGGCTGCCAATTGCTCCTCATGCAGCACTGCCTGTGGGGGTAATGAAGAAGGGGGAGGAATGGTTTATCAGATATTAGAGGGGTGATGGCTGATCGATTTCTCCACTGCCTCTGCTGCCAATTGCTGCTTACGCAACACCGCCTGTAGGTGCAATGGGGAAAGGAGATTAAAAAAGAAAACAACATGTCGGTTCTTGTGCCTCTGCTACCTGTTGCTGTTGCTGCTGCAGCCTTATTCCACCAGACCAAACCACGCAGCACCTTCTGTCACAAGGAACAGTAAAAGCTCTTCTCCCACCTTTGAGACGACCCAAAAGCAGACTCATTACACGCGGTTTTTTTTGCAGTCGACTCAAAAACAGACTCATTACCCGCGGTCCCCCTCACCCGTTGCATCATCTTTTCTCGCCGCTCCTCCTTCTCCCTCTGCTGCCGCCCCTCACAACAACCCCTTTGCCTTTTAGGGAAAACCCGCAGCAACCCCTCCCTTCCCCCTCCCCCCCTCTTTCCCCACCTTGCCCTCACCCGCCCCCTCCCCCTCACCTCCTTTGAGCAGCAGCAACAGCACGCTCCCCCTCACCTCCTTTGAGCAGCAGCAACAGCACCCTCCCCCTCACCTCCTTTGAGCAGCAGCAACAGCACCCTCCCCCTCACCTCCTTTCAGGAGCAACAACAGCACCCTCCCCCTCACCTGTTGCGCCATCTTTTCCCTCCGCTCCTCCTTTTCCCTCTGCTGCGCCTCTGCTCTCCTCCTTGCAGCAGCAGCGCCCTTGAGCAGCTGGTACACATGCCATGCTATCGCCTCCCCCTCCCTGTCTGCATCAGTTGCCAACACAACGCCTTGAGATCTGAGGGGTAAACGAAGGAGGGTGGGAAAAGAGCTGTTTCGTTTAGAATCCTAGAAAACCAACCGATTTTTATATTATTTATCTACTTTTATTCTTTTAATTTGAAACACTATTCTCAACACCCTGGTTTCTGAGGGTAAACGAGGGATAGTGGGAGAAAGGCCAGCATCAGGGGAGACCGCATGCACTCTGTTGGACACGTCTCTCACATGACAACAATGCGTTGGCCTTCGTTGACCATGCGTTGCCAGAATGTGTTGACCTGCATTGACTTAGCACCTGAGCTCTCACCTGACCGCAGCGAGAGCCATGATCCCAAAGTGCACTACTGCTGTTCAGCCAGGGGTCACACGGCTCACCTGACCGCAACCAGAGCAATGGCCCTAATGTGAGGCACTTCCTGGGACAGGATTCGCCAGTCGATGGCGAAGTCCGCATCGAACGAGACGCATCGACCTTGTTGGGCACATGCCACTGCTGTCCAGACAGGGTTCAGGGTTTTAAGGTTTGGGGCCTTAAGGATTGGGGTCTTCGGGTTTGGGGTCTTGAAGTTTGGGGTCTTAAGGTTTGGGGTCTTAAGGGTTGGGGCCTTAAGGTTTGGGGCCATAAGGTTTGGGGTCTTCGGGTTTGGGGTTTTGGGCCACACCGATTCACCTGAATGCAGCCAGGGCGATGGCCCTAAAGTGTGGCACCGCCTGGGGCAGGATTCGCCAGTCGATGGCGAAGTCAGCGTCGTGCGAGATGGCATCGGCCTTGTTGGGTGCGTGCCACTGCTGCTCAGTCAGAATTCAGGGTTTAGGGTTTAGGGTTTGGGGTTTGAAGTTAGGGGTTTTGGGGTTTTGGGCCACACGGACTCGCCCGAATGCAGCCATGGCGATGGCCCTAAAGTGTGGCACCGCCTGGGGCAGGATTCGCCAGTCAATGGTGAAGTCAGCATCAAGCGAGATGCATCGACCTTGTTGGGCGCGTGCCACTGCTGTCCAGAGTCCAGACAGGGTTCAGGGTTGAAGGTTTGGGGTCTTAAGGTTTGGGTTCTTAAGGTTTGGGGTCTTAAGGTTTGGGGTCTTCAAGTTTGGGGTCTACAAGTTTGGGGTCTTAAGGTTTGGGGTCTTAAGGTTTGGGGCCTTAAGGTTTGGGGCCTTAAGGTTTGGGGCCATAAGGTTTGGGGTCTTCGGGTTTGGGGTTTTGGGCCACACCGATTCACCTGAATGCAGCCAGGGCGATGGCCCTAAAGTATGGCACCGCCTGGGGCAGGATTCGCCAGTCAATGGCGAAGTCAGCGTCGGGCGAGACAGCATGGACCTTGTTGGGCACGTCTCGCACGTGACCGTGCGTCGCCAGCACCGAGAACTCTCTTTTTCTCTTCCGCAATCCTGCTCCTCCTCCTCCTCCTGCTGCTGCTGCTGCTGCTGCTGCAAGGCTGGAGAAGGGTTCGGAATCAGGGGCGTGTTGGAGGTAACCCTGAATTGTGCGGGCTTTAGAGGGGGATTCCACCACCACTAGCCATCGCTCCACTGCTGCTGGTTGTGCTGCTGCTCCTGCATCTGCTGCTGCTCCTGCTGCTGCTGCTGCAGGTTGTGCTGCTTTTGCTGCTGATTCTGCTACTGCTGCTGCTTCTCCTGCTGCCCCTGCTGCAGCAGCGTCCGCTGCATTTGCTGTTGCCCTCTTACTCGCTGTCTTCCGCCTCGTCCTCTTCACTTTCCCCACTCCCAAATCCTCAACTAACTCGGGTGGTTCTGCTACTGCTACTTCTCCTACTTCTCCTGCTGCTGCTGTCGCTCCTGCTTCTGCTGCTTCTCCTGGTGCAACAGCCTCCCCTGCACCTGCAGTTCCCCCCTTACTCCCTGCCTTCCGCCTCGTCCTCTTCACTCTCCCCACTCCCAACTCCTCCCCGACTTCTGGTGGTTCTGCTACTGCTACTTCTCCCCCTCCCTCTGCTGCTCCTAGTGTTGCAGCCTCCGCTGCACCTGCCGTTTCCCTCTTACTTACTGCCTTCCTCCTCGTCCTCTTCACCTTTCCCACTCCCAAGCTCTCCTCCCCTCCCACACCCATACCTTTCGCCCCATCATCTCCCTCGCGCTTCTGCGCCTCCTCCCCGGTCTCTCCCCCTTCCTCTGCCCGAACCTGCTTCTGTTGAGCCGCACCTGCTGACTCAGCATTGGCTACTGACTCAGCACCCGTCGAAGCTGGCTCAGCAGCACCGATTGCTGACTCAGCAGCACCGGTTGCTGAGCACAGGTGCCTTGTGCTGCCTAGCACCCTGGTCAGACCGCCGCATTGGTGCTTCTCGAGCAGAAGAGGCGATTTGCTAGGCGCCTCAAAGGTGCTGCCTGCCCGAGTCAAAACCGTCCTGACGCTGCACTGCGGCTTCTCGAGCAGAAGTGGCGATTTTTTAGGCCCCTCAAAAATGCTGCCTACCCAAGTAGTCAAAACGCTGCATTGCGGATCTAGAGCTACCCTCCCCGCTGCAACGCGCTCACACAAAAGAGGCCCCCTGAGGGATAGGCGCACAGGCGTATCTGGGGCTGAACGTATCTGGTCATTATAACGGGGCGTACAGACGTGATTGCAGCGGGCGGTCAAGAGGGGGTGCTTGTATCGAATGGTAGGAAATGCCTGACTGCTGTGTGACAATGGCGCTTGGTTGAGGGGAGAGCTGCCATGTCTGAAGCGGGCGGTCAAGGAGGGGTGCTTGTATCGAATGGTCGGACTGCTGTGTGCCGATAGCGCTTGGGTGAGGAACGAACTGCCAGGTCTGAAGCGGTCGCTGCGACTGTTACCGACGTTATTAATGCTGGCACCGCTACTTCTGCTACTACCGCTACTACCGCTACTAATGCTCACGCTTCCGCTGCTGCTACTACTACTCCGTGCGGAACCGCCACTGAAGCTACTACTAATGCTCACGCTGCCGCTGCTACTACTACTCCGCGCCGCGCCGCTACTGACGTTCCTACTAATGCTGACGCCGGCGCTGCTGCTACTACTCCGCACGGCGGCACCTGCGCCGGTATCCCAGATAAGCATTAGCGCGCCTCTGAATCCGCCTCTTCGGATTAACGAACCGCTTCCGATTAGCGACTGATTCGCGCGCCTCAGGCACGGGGAAAGAGCAGGCATCCCCCGCCTCCACGTGGATCCACCCCTCTTCCACGCGGATCTACTCCCCTTCCACGTGTATCTGTTCCGCTTCCACGTGTACCTGTTCTGCTTCCACGTGGATCATGAAACTCTAGTCTTCTGGACACAGCTGAAGGGGTGTATGGAGTGATCGCGCCGCGACGTCCGCGGATGGGCCGTCACAAAGTGGCACAGTGAGGCGGCTTACGGTTCCGTAATGATACTCGGCGGTACGCTTCGGTGAGAAGGCGTAAAAAAGGGACAGGCTTCCCGCCGCACTCTCTCTATAGTAAACCCCCTTAGTGCGCCGGATCCTGCGGAAGGGAAGGCAATCCGGGAGTCAGTGAAATGGGCATGGTCGATGAAGCAACAGGATAGGCTAAACGGAGATTCTCTAAACGCTCTTTTTGGCAGCCTCAGCAAGGCTTATAGGCTTTCTGTACTAGCTGTTACCAGATACAATCATGCTAAACCCCATTTTATGTGCGAGAGATCGTCCGCCAACCCATCTCCTAAGACTCGTTTTACAGGTGGAGACATTGCTATAAATTACACGAGAAGCAGAAAATGTCAAATGGTTTTTTTAACTCTAAAATCAACCCTTTTATATCAAAAAGAGGGCTATTAGGCAAGTCTGGATTTGAGCATCCTAAGCTGTACCTGATTGCGTGAGTACGTGCAACTCATAAAACGAACGAATTTATAAACGGTATTCTAGCATTATGTGAATGGCCCACCTGGTTTCAGTCGGACCACCACCGCAGGTTCGGATTAGTGACCAATCAGGAATGTTGCCGCCATTTTTAGGGTGTGCTCTGACTCTTCCGAGCCTATTCCACAACCAGTTAGAACACGAGCAGCGGGCCGCCCTATCTTCATACATAGACCCAACTTAGGTCTTTGCCACCTGGTCTGGTGTGAGCCAACAATGAAGGCACAAGCCTCTGGCTCGGTGATCTGGCATATTGTGACGAACCTAAAACCGTCGCGCTGACAAAAACCAGGCGCGAAATGGCTCCGCGCCAGAGCGTCTGCTCTGCACTCTCCAGATGTACAGCAAGTACATCCTCTCATATTGCATTATGGGTGTGTACACAAATAATGACGCGTCTCAAGAGTTCATGCTACTTACTAACCCCACCGGACCGTAGAATAATTTAATCGAACGCTTTAAAAGGCTAAAAAACGTACTCAACCATGTTAAAACAAACTCTTTTGACGCCCTGATGAATCCTCACTCGTCCTCTCCCCAACCAACACACACAACCATTCGCCGTGAGTCGCGGGGCGCCGCAAATTGGTTTCTTGCGCCGCGATACAACTGATGTGGAAAGTGCAGGGAAATGTGTACACTTTTTTGCCTATTTATTTTTATTCTTTTTGCACGCTTTTAGTCTGTAATCGAGGAATAATAAATCACGGGCTAACGGGATCTTGATTGGAAAACCCACAGTAAACACTGACACCTGGTTACACAATCTCGCTCATACAAGAGATTAATTGCCTGCACGACGTCCCAGCCCTGAAACTCGCAATTGTCGTAATTTGACTTGGCTGTTCGCTATCGTTCAGACTGCAGCCAATCAGGTTCAGTGTCAACGCGAGTCATGCTGAGAACTGGGCTGCAACTGGGCTGTTCCGGGTGTAACAATAGACGAGGACAGGTGTATTTTCTAAGCCAGCCGTGCGCCGAAACCCCACAACCTACCACCACCGACAATTCATGTCACCATTACCACCCAACCGAATCCTCCCAAACCCACTCTGAAAAAGCCTAACCCAGCCGAACCAGTCTACACTACTCCCTCAACTCACCAACCACACGCCAACTCAATAATTCACTTCTCCTTTCCCCTCGCTACGGGGCACGCTGATCACTGGTAGCAGAAATAATTATCTTTCATCCGCCAGGAATTCGAGCAAGAAAGAGGTGCACGGCCTTGCAGGCGACCCGAGCGCGAGACAAGTATAGTTGCAGCTGACGCCAGTTGCGGGGGCCTTCGGTTGCCCGGCCGCGACAACCGCTACACCCGTAGGTGATCAGACGGCTGAGAATCGCGATGGGGGTGATGCGATGGAGTTTAGCGGAACCAATAAGCCGGCCTTCTGGCCTTGGGCGAGAGGATCTCACAAAGTCTTCCCGAGTCGGCTCCTTTGCGGTTCCTTGCACGCGTGGCTATCTCCAGAGAGGAGAGAAGCCCGCTCATATCTTCTTCCTACATAGCCATCTCCCATTCCTGCCTATTCGTGTGCAGCTGTATTTTCCAGTCGACTCAAACGCAACTGTCCGAAAAGCGTGCGTTTCTCTATCGCAACCCTCCTGAAATCCACCAGCGCTTCCTTCACAGCCCCCATTCTCCTCAGATCTCGCTCATCTGCCTTCCGTTCTTCCGAGTCGGCTCTCGTCGGGCTCTGTCCGGCCAGCCTCGGCTTCCAACTGCTCCGATCGCACCTCGTCACGCACTTGTTTCTCTTTCGCGACTGTCTCGCGTGATTCCAGTGAGCGCATTTTTGAGGCGCCTCAAAAATAGTGTCCGGAGATCTGCTCCGATCGCACCTCTTCACGCACTTGTTTCTCTTTCGCGACTGTCTCGCGTGAGCGTTGCGCCTTGCCGCAACCCGTGATTGAACAATCTTGATTGGATTCCGAGCTTGACAAAGACTACTTGTCGACCTTATTCGTTCCCTCATCGCACCTTGCAAAGCCTACCTGTCTCCACCGTGAGCGTTGCGCTTCGTTTGCAGCCTCCGCCCGTCGATCTTATTCGTTACCTCATCGCCACTGGTTACTCTGATTTCTTCGGAGCGCTGTAACACATTCTGGAGCAATCTTGTAACGCGGATTCGCAGCACAGCAGATTCGAATCCCTTGGGAGCTCCATGGAGCAATTTAAATCTGCCGAAAGGGAGTACAGTCAACTCAAGCAAGCTAAGGAATTATTTGTGGGCGGGACGGTCGACGGTCCTAATCAGCGACCAGTTGCGTGGCGGACCAGTCGCATTGCGAACAACGATCGTCACCAACATCCTTCGCGAATTCAACAAGTTGGTGGTAACACTCGCGACTCAACCTTGCCCCCGCAAGGACAGCTTCCGCTGAAGCGTCGCCCGCCGCTTCTGCTGCCGCTCGCCAACGCTGCGGAAGGCGTCGTCTCGCCGGTTTTCCCCTCCCCTCCTCCGATCCCTGCGCCTGATGCCTCGCTGGTTACCGGGCTGACGGGGCAAGGTTGCGCCCTCGCCCGCGCGCGCACACTTGCGGGAGGCGCGGCCGCGGTGGGCGGAGTGGCAGTGGCGGTTGCGGCTGGCGCGGTGAGCGCCCACCTTGAAGACGCGGACGGCTTGGCGGTGGGGTACTGGGGAGACAGGCAGAAGCGGAGGCGGTTGTTCCCCCCGGCCGCGGAAGAGGCGGGAACCGTGGCGGAGGTGCAGAACGCTTCTGGTGGCGGTCTGAGGTGGCGGAAACGACGGCTGGGAGAGGGGGAAGGGGGGAGGGGCGCGCGGGAGAGGGGGAATCGGGAGGTGCGGGGGAGGCGGATGGCACTGGCGCTAGAGCCAAGTGGCGGAGAGTCGGGGAAGGGGAGGGTGAGTGGGAGGAGGAGGATAAGGAAGGGGAGACGGACGATGAGGGAGAGGAGGATGACGAAGGCGAGGGGGAGGTGGATGAAGGGGATTGGGAGGAGGGAGATGATGAGGCAGAGGAGGATGAGGAGGGAGGAGAAGAGCAAGGGAGAGGAGTGCAGAAGGAAGGGTGTACAGTGCGTAAGGCGTGTGAGCATCTAAGAGATGGTGTGAGAAAGGGGAGTTCTGATAGGCAGGGGCAAGAGCAGCGCAGGGCGAATCAGCAGGATGAGTTTTGTGAGCTTGATGACGATGAAGATGATTACACGGAGGACGAGGAAGATGCCTATGACGAGGATGAGGATGGTGATGACTGCAGCGACAGTGACTGTACTGAGAGCTGGTGGGAGGAGGCTGAGAGTGATGTGGAGGGAGGGGAGGAGGCAAATAGTAGATTGTCGGAGGAGAGACTGGTGGATGGGTTGAGGGAGAGTTTTCAGAAGTTGGCGACGGAGTGTAGAGTGGCCAGGCGAAATTATGATAAGCTGAGATCGGCTTGTGAGCAGCTTCAACAACAGAACAACCTGTTCCGATCCAAGGTGAGGCGGCGTGAAAGAGCGTGCTTTTGGTTTGGATGCATGTCGAATTTGTGCATGAAAGGATGGTTACGTTTTATAGATTCCTAACGTTTGGACTAGCTTTTGTTGCTGCAGATCGAAACGCTTCAAGTACTTCGTGGTGGAATTCCGCACTGCCGCACGCTTCAAGTGCTTCGTGGTTGAGCAACTGTGATTACTAACACAGAACGTAGAGATTTTGAATCAACAAAAAAGTTATCAGCATAATTTCAAAGCATAGCAATCAGAGGCTAGCTAATAGCGCTTATTATACTAACTTCGAACAGTCTCTATGCTGGAGATGGATGGTTGAATAAATACAACACGATGTGTCATGGCATCCATGACTTCAGCGTGGTTGTCCTAAATTTTGTGTCACCTCACTAATGGCAGATTCCTTTAAAACCTGAAGAAGCGGTGTCTGCAAACGGAGATGAACGAGGCGGGTAACCAGGTCCGGTTCGCCAGCCGCCTGTGCTGTGTTCAGGCATCCCATTCAGCACGGCGAGTTCGCGAAGCTGAGCGCGCTTCAACAAGTCGTACGAGTCGTCCTGAAGTGGGGGAAGATGAGTTCACGAGACGGTGGGATATTTGTAACCGTATCGAGCGAAACAGCTCTCGCGGGTGAGCTATGTGAAAACACGCCATGCGAACAAAAGGAGACTTGCGAACTGAGGGAAATCGCCCTGCGACAATGATCGAGAGCAGAACATGTTAGCGAACTGCGAAGGATATCGCCCCTGAGTGACATACTAGATAAACCCCTTTCCACACTAGATTCTAGGTGGCAGGAAGCTGGATTCCCGAACCAGATCCATACATACATCACACAAAAAAATGGGGCAAATTTCCACCCAACATGCGCTTCGAATTTCCAACTTCGGACAAATGGCTTACACTAATCTACGTAGCACTGGTTTGAGCAGCTCGTGCACGATCGTGCACGATCGCGCACGCCTCTCCGAGTCCACGATCTCGGGACGGACGGGCGGCGAGGGTCTAGGACTCTAGGTGTACGCCGCTGGGAACCAACAGGATTAATCTAAATAGTACGTACCACTGGTTTGAGCAGCTCGTGCAACGCCTCTGCGTGGCTACCTAGGGTTGGTGGAGTACCCAGCGTCCGGAGATTCGCACTAGGTTCGAAATCTACGTACTACAGGTTCGCACTGGTTCGTATTTCACGGACCACCGGTTTGAGCAGCTCATGCACGATCTCGCACGCCTCGCCCAGCTGCGAGTCCACGATAGACGGACGGGCACCGAGGGTCAACAGTGTTACAATACAGGTTCACTATAATATAGTATTCGATTGAATAGTACGTACCACTGGTTTGAGCAGCTCGTGCACGATCTCGCACGCCTCGCCCAGCTGCGAGTCCACGATATCCGCCGGCAATTCCGCGACGATGATGACGTGGAGCGGGTCGAAGAGGTGCTCGTAGCCCGGCTTGCCACGTAGACGCTCTTCCTGCGTGTCGTGTGGTGTGTTGGGGGGGGAGGGGGGTTTGTCGGTAGACATAGTTTTAGCACGTGAAAGCCTCCAAACGAGCTGCAGGCTAGACGCCGCTTAACGAGCAGCAGTCTACTCACCCCACAACCTCACTCGTTCCTGGTTCCCATCACGCCCTTCTCACGCCCTTCTCACGCCCTTCCTCACCCCCTTTCTCACCCTTATCACGCCCTTTCATGCCCTATCCTCCCCTTACGTACCCTGCACGGGTCTTTGATGGATCCGCGCCCGCGGATCAGCATCACTCTGCTTCCCGTTTGCGCCTCCACGCGGTTTTGTTTCATTGAGGCGCAAAATGCATCATGATTCATGCGCCCCCAGATTCACCCTTTCCATGTACTAAACGTACGTACCCTGCACGGGTCTTTGATAGATCCGCGTCCGCGGATCAGCACTCGGCAGCCGGTTTGCGCCTCCACGCGCTTGAGGGAGTTCCCCCGCGGGCCCAGCAGGCGCCCCACGAAGTTGTACGCGGGGAAGCGCTCCACGGGGACGTTCACCCGCTGCATCTTCTTCACTATCGGCGCGCCCATCCCGCCGCCGCCCATTCCGCCGCCCATTCCGCCGCCCATTCCGCCCCCCATTCCGCCCCCCATTCCGCCCCCAATGCCCCCTCCGCCTCCCGCGCCCATTCCGCCACCCATTCCGCCCCCTGTTCTCCCTGCGCCTCCCGCTCCCATTCCGCCCCCCATTCCTCCCCCCATTCCCCCTGCGCCTCCGCCGGGTGCTGGCGGAGGGGCCCAGCCGGGGAGTGGCGGAAGTGGCTGACTGATTGGCGGAGGCGGCGGAGGCGGCGGATGCATCACCAGCGGGGAAAACGATGGCTGCGAAGAGTACGGGAGGGGGAATAGAAGGGGAGGGAAGAGCAGGGGGGAGGGGGGAGAGGGGGAGGGGGTGAGGGAACGAGGTGGGAGGAGGTGGAGTAAACATTTATGGGCGTTGGGCGGAACTATTCTCGTTTTAGCTGTGAGACGAGAATAGGGGGCATATGCAGGTAACCTGGTTTGGCCTCATCGCATACCTCAATCTCGTTAGGGAGTGGCGACCACGTGCCCCCATCGAAAGGCGAGGGGCCAGGCGAAAGGTTGTGCTGTGACTTTGGCGAAGTGAGCTGGTCGGGTAACAGCTGCTCGGCGTTGGATAGGCTGTCGTTGTCCGTGCAGGACGACGAGCAGTTGAGCGACGTCAGCCGCGCGATTTCTGCGATAAGCATGCAAAACAAACCACAAAAGAGTATTTGTGCACCTAACACAGAAACAACTTGACGCCAATCAACCTTTACAATATGGGATGAAAAAAAGAAAAAAAAAAAAAGGAATCATCGCAAGATTTGTGGTGTGTGCAGAAATGCTGCCACATTAGAACTGACACGCAGTGAATCGCTGCTTGCCAGACGCCCTACGCTCCTCCAGGAGACGAGAGCAGTGGGAAAGGATGCTTTTGGGTCGACTCAAAAGCAATCACTGCTTGTCAGACGCATACCTTCCTCCAGGAGACGCGAGCAGTGCGGCAGAACGAGCTTGAACGGGGTGAGTTTCTTGCGCTCGGCGATTAAATCCGCCAGTAAGCTGCCAAACACCACCAGGATTTAGGAGGAAGGTAAGCGTCAATGATTGAGTGAGAGCGTGTTAAGGAACTGAGGGATGTGACTTTTATTAGTCTTGCTTCGGGAGTTCCAAGGGATAGCAGGCGGCAACCGGTGAGGGTGATGAGAGAGACAAGTACTAATACTCTGAATCTCGCTTACAATTCGCCGTCGCTGTTGGACGATGCGAGTCTCGCTAGCCCGGGCGACGACGGCGAGGATCCGAAGTTAGGGGAGAACCAGCCGTTCATCTTGACCGTCGGTGTCACGCCGCGAGTGTCACAACGCGCCGTTAGAAAGTATGAATCAAGAGCCAAGTATTCGAGAAAAACGACTGGAAGCAACCTCTGCTGCGTGCTCGAGAGACGCCGCAGCTTCTAAAAGACGTAAGTATTCAGGGGGGATGGTAACCGGGGAGTAGCAAGCCTATGGCATATACGCCCACCAACGCAACTACTACTGCTGCTACTGGTCGTAGTGGTGGCCTCTCAGTGAGGAGAAACCGAGTCTTGAAGTTGGATGCTACCCAATCCAAGCCTAGCTTGTGCCAGCTTACTAGCGGAGGACGTTTGTCTGACAAATAGGTTTTGAAACTAGCAGGATTTGAAATTAGCCCCTCGAAGAGATGCCAGACGTCGTTCACACACAGGTGGCGACTGGGAGAGTGGAATTGATTGTATGCATGGCGAAGGCGACATGCGACGCTTATGTATGGCGGTGGTCCAGTGGGAAAAATGTGCGACGATAAACGGCACGATGTGGTCGTCGCATTGCGCGGTTCGAATAAGACTCGCTGTGCGACCGTGTGCGACAGCTAGGCTACTGTCGCTAGAGCCACCTGCGACAGGAACTCACATCATGGGTCCCCATGGAAGCTCTATCGTGCTTTCAAATGTGGCCTGCCGCCGGGTCGGGCCTATGCATTCCGGGGGACGAGGAAGCAATCGCAGTTGTGAAATGCCATTCGCGTCGCAGCCGGCCCCGCGCGAGTGCACGAGCCTACGCTGGCCGCAGTTCTCTCTACCCGCAGTCACTGCAGTCGACCTGACGATGAACCCAGAGTCGAGATAAGGAGGCGATCGTGGAATTAAAACATGACCGCTTTGGGGAATTCCGAGGAACCATGCGGAGAGAGTGCATGGTCTTGCATGGCAGGAGTCACACACATGTGAGGACGCGCTGTTTGGGGAGGTCTCTCTGGGTTCCAGCTGAGCTTATGCATGGGGCCATCCTAGTCGACGGATGAGGTTTTGGTTGAAGGGGCAAGGGTGAGGAGGGATCCAGGTGGTGGCATTGCATGGCATGGAGTAGGAAATCCACTTCGAATTCGCCCCCTCGCATTTGCCCGTTCGCATTTCTCCCTCCCATTCACCCCTCTAACATGAGAGTGGTAGAGCGAGCATACACTCTCACATGCTTCTGCTTCCCGAGGGCGCATTCACTCTCTTACCCCCGTATGACAGTCGGCGTCACGCGTGCGAGCCGAGCCGCAGATTTCCTCCATGTCATACCGCGTCAACTTCGCTCTCTCCGAAACCCCATTCATTCGCAAATGCGATTTGCGGCCTGTCAAGCTCGGGCAGCTTCTGACGACATATGGGCTCAAAAGGGGAAAGCGGCAAAGCTTTCCCGCTTGGTGGGGTGAAGGAAGATTTCAAGCCGCAAAAAAAAATTGCTCGGGCACGGGATTCCCGTGAAGAATGCAAAGTTTTCACCTCTCATTTGTGGCCAGCATTCACCTTGTCATCATTTTCACTGCAGGAAACCAGGGGGAAATCTTATCGAGAATCGGGTCAGAATGAATATCTTACCTGGTATTGGGGCAGAAAGGCTCATGATAAATATTTTTGAAATATCATTCATAACAGCTATCCCGATCGACAACTATAAGCTGTACAACAAACCACTATTCAACATGTCTACGTCAAATGATGTCTAAAGCAACTTCTTCGGCTAGAACATCACTTCACACTCACCCTACGATTATTGCAGTTAACTTGCATTGCATTGCCAACAACTTCATCAAAGAGAAACGTGTGTAATACAAGGCGCAAATATGGGTACCCGTACATTTTATTTAAGAGTGTACCTAAAAGGCGTCGAACCACAAACAAGAGCCCTACTAAAATCACACAACGACGCGCAAGGGAAAGTGAGAAACATACAACAATCAAGCTCAACATCTAAGCATAGCACAGACTGCACTAGGAGTCTCATAAGGCAGGTCCGGCAGCCGCTGCCAAACCGAGCCTCCCCGAGCCTCAGCCTCGGGTTCGTACATGAGAGCCAGGGCGCCAAACCTATATCCCACCATGCTCACCGCACCAACCGCCACACCGCCAACCCAACCTCCCCGTCCTCCTCTCCCCCATGTCCACCCCTCCCTCCTCTCCCCTCCCACCTACTCCCCCCTCCCTGCTGAAACATTCCCCCTCCCACCCCTAACCGCCCCCTCCCCCCTCCCACCACCTCTCCCTCCTCCCTCCTCTTGCCCTCCTCCACCCCCTCCTCCCCTCCTCCCCTCCTCCTCCCCTCCTCGTTCCCTTGGACCTTCATGGTTCGGCAAGTCAGGCACAAGGTCTGCTACAGGGTCTGATGGTCCATTGACAATGTTTATGGGAATGTTCTCTGAAGTTTCAGCAGCAGTACCAGCAGCAGCAGCAGAATCAGAATCCCCAGAAGCAGTAGCAGTAGCAGCAGCAGGCTCGTCGCCAGCAGCAACAGAAGCAGAAGCAGCAGCCGCAGCAGCAGGCGCAGAAGCACCTGCCCCAGCAACAACTGCATCATCAGCCTGTGCCTCTGCTGCCGGTGCATCAAACACCCCTCTCTGCATATCTCCATTTACCTCCCCATTTCCTGAAGGTTGTACCCAGTTCTCAACCACCCCTCCTGCTGCCTCCCCTGCTGCTGCCTCTCCTGCTGCCTCCCCTGCTGTTTCCTCTGCTGTTTCTCCTGCTGTCTCTCCTGCTGCCTCTCCTGCTGCCTCCCCTCCTGCCCCTCCTGCTGCCCCTCCTGCTTCCTCTCCTGCTGCTCCTCCTGCTGTCCCTCCTGCTGCCTCTGCCCCTCCTGCTGCCTCTGCCCCTCTCTCGCCTCTTCTTCCCTCACCCCTCCCCCCTTCTTCCCCCCTCCTCCCTCCCCAGCACGGCTCCCAGCAGCGAAAGAAGCAATACCCATGTCCTCACACGTTCCCCGTACTTGCACTATAAGAACCCTGGTTCGGGAGGCAACGCACCTAAACGACACTTTGCTAAGTATCATGGGGTCGGAGGGGGCACGTAGGGCATGCTGTGCATGTCTTTCCACTCGTTGGCACGGGTGTCGTACCGGACGAAAGAAATTTGTCCAGATTCGATGCAACTGCACACAAACCAGGGGTTTGGGAATGGGGTGGTTACACAGTTATGTGTGTATGCCTGGAGACTCTCTGGTGTATGCATTTTGTAACAAAAATGGGGAAAATGGGAATGGGGGAGTTAATAATGGGGATGAAAGTCGCTTCAAAGTAGGGGAAGGACGTACCGAAGAATGAAGATGTATCGCCCAAGCACTGTCGAGCCTAGCACGACGCCCAGCTTCGGAATCGGCTCCCGAACCTCCCAGGTTCGGGCCCTGGGGTGGAAAACCTCCAAACTGAGCGCCTCGGCTCCCGCCCTGAACTGGTGGCTGCTCCTGGTTCCACCAATCACGTGCAGCCGCCCCGCCACGCACCCTCCCACCGCACCCACGCGCACCCTCTCCATATCAGGCGCCATCTCCCAATACCCCCTCTTTTCCTCCGCCTCCTCCTCTCCCACTCCCCCACTTCTGCTTCCCCTCCCCTCCCCCTTCCGCGGACCCCCCTCTCCTCGCACTTCTTCGAGTCACTTCCCCCATTCCCCTGCCCCTCTTCTACCATGCGCCCTTGCCCCTCGGGGATAAAAACTTCAGCTGCCCGGAGGTCCTTCTTCTCCTCGCCCTCCTCCAATGGCTGCTGGCGGATGCCGCCCGCGACGAAAAGTTTCCCCTTCCACTGCCCGCATACGAATTTGAATCGGGGAATTTGCAGTGCTGGTGCAGCGGAGAGGGAGTTCGTCCAGGCGTCATACACTAACGGGGGACGGCCTTTAGCGAGTATGCCTCCGAACAGGAAAATCCGATTCGATATAGGGCAGCACTGGGAGAAATCGTCTATTGCTAACGACTCGTTTGGAAAAACCACCCAAGACCAAGAATTGGACTTCAAATTGTAACACTGAATTAAGACCTTGGACTGGGCGGTCTGGCCCTTACTAATCACCACTAAGTGATTCTCCATCCGTCCTAAAGCCTCCCGGTAATCCCGGAACGCGTCAGTGCGAATAATACCCCGCCACGTGCGGCACACGTGCTGCATGGCCCCCAAAGCGCGCCGATCGGCCCTCGCCAGGCACTCCAAGAGCAGATCGTCCGTCAGATACGCGATCGGCGCGTTCCCAGCCGTCGGATCGTCCAGGGACGCGTATCCGCCGTTCATTTGCGGGGGGATGTCGGATGGGAGAGGGGGGAGCTCGATCTCGTAGGCAGAAGTGGAGGAGGAAGATGCACCTATTGGGCGCCGGAAAACGCGGCGAAAAATACGGGAGAGGTTGTTCGCCCCGCTGCTCGACTGGGCCGCCGGAGGCGCGGACAAAGAATCTGACGTGGCACCAGAGGAAGCTGACGTGGCGTTAGTTTCCGCCTGACGGTCCTTACCTCCCCCGAGTCCCACCTGACTCAGCCGCCTCACGTGCGACTTCACGCGGCTCGCCACGGCAGAAGAGTACGAGAAAAAACCCGCTGATGCTCCGCTATTAGCTGCTGCCCCGTTATAAGCAGCCGCGCCGTCCCGTTTAGCGCTCGGTCCGCTTATAAGCTCCTCCGCGAGAAAGTCCAACTCTCCCGTTTCCTTCCCCTCGTCGTCGTCGTCTGACGAGGAAAGTCCATCCATGGCTTCGCGTCGACCGCGCTGACTGCCGTGCCGGCCGCTTAGACGGCTGCTGCTCCCGCTGCTGCTATAACTGATGCATGACGGGACTCTGCTGCTTCCGCTGCGGGAAACCCGGGAGTCGGGCGGGGGTGCGGCGCATGGGAGCAGCGACGGGTGGATGCGGAAGCTCCCCCCTCCGCCTCCGCCAGCCGCGCTTTCCGCCGTTGCCGTTACTTTTCCGCTAAGCTTTCCGCCGTGCTATGCACCGAAATTACTATATTGTAGCGGAGGCGCCTTCTGGTAGGAAATTCACACTATTCTACTCCGGTCCTGCCTGACTGCCTGCAATGCCGGTCGCCATGGCATGACTCTTTATTCAATCCCAAAGCTTCCAGTTTTTCAGGCAGGACGTGTCCCCCATCCATTCCCACGCCAACCTGGAGGGTGACTGACTAGATCTTTCTTCATACGGTTTTCTGTGGTTCTCCGCGTTTCAAAGCGGTTATGCAGGAAATCTAGCTTTTGTCGTATTATCTTTACTCCTCCACAGGCCCACCCGCTCTCCCCGCCCTGGAGCGAACATCGCCCAGGTCAACACCACGTTCGCACAGTCGGTAACCCGTGTACAGTACCTCCTTTCTTTAGCCCCTGCAGAGCAGACACTTCCGCCCAAGTGCGTTTAGTGGCGGAAAGTTTCGCGAACCACCAGTTGCTTTCGCCAAACCCAACAACTGGCCTCTGGTCGCTATGGCTGGACCACACCGCACAGCAGTACAAGATTCTTGCCTCTATATAAGCCTCAAGAACTCTCGTTTCTGTTCCAATAATTTACCATCTATACGACAAAGAGCCCAAAGCTTTATTTCAAAGGGGAGATCCTCTTGATACTTTTGCAATATGACTCCACATCTTCATAAGCCCATCAAAACCTCGTTCTTCTCGAATCTTCCCAGCAATAGTGTAGTTAGCCACATCCTCTTGAGTTGCCTCAGCAGCAACTCTATGCTTGGCCAAATCTTTCAGTATCAAAATCATTTGCAAGCAACTCATTTGAGTCACAAAGCTCTCATCCCACCTTGGAGCATCGAAGACCACTTCCTCACAATCACCAGCCGCCATGCTTGCCTCCAAACTGGCCCTCCCACTGACATCTTGCCTCTTGGCTATTCCAGAATCAGCAATCCGTTTGCCGGTAATCGGACGCTTGTGCGACACTTTCAAGCACTCGATCTTCCGTCCATTCTCAACATCACAGCTCGTCGCTCTCCTTTTTTGCCCAGCATTCAACCCCCCCACATCAGGCAATGCTCCTTGACCCAGCTCCCTTGCACCTATTGGATGCTCCCTTTGCAGCACCATGACCTGGCCCTTTCTTGACTCATTCACGCCCGCTGGAACCTCCCTTGCAGTTCCTTGCACATGGCTCTATTCACTATCCCCTGCCTCGCACTTCCCTTCTCCCTCCTGCCACTGGCTTCTTGTGTGCATACTTGTCAAAGCAAACCCCGCCTGCTGCTGCATTTTCGTCCCTCTCCCAGCCTTGCCTCGCACATCTCTCGCGCGTCCGTTGCTCTTTTCGCACCTTCTCCTGTGCGTATTTCCCCCCTCTCCTTCTGAGCACCAGTGTCTCCCTCTTTTTGAGGCGCCTCAAAAACCAATGCTCCTTTCGCACCTTCTTGTGTCCTTGTGTGGAAAGGTATTTCCCCCGACTCCTTGTGTGCACCAGTGTCTACACCCTCCTCCTCATCATCATCCCCCAATCCTGCCAAACCACCCTCCACGTCCTCCCCAAGCCTCACCCACCTCCATCGCCTCCCGCCCGACGCACCTCCCTTGCTCTTAACAGGTCCCAATGCTGCCAAGTCAGCATCCACGTCCTTCCCAAGCCTCCCCCACCGCCATAGCCT